TTGCGCAGTTGACGAGTAATGGATGCTATGGACGGAATCGAATGCAACCAAACATTGAGAGTTATTGATACCATAAATTTTAATAAAATTTTTGACAGCAATTTTATTAATGCCATCAATAAGCTTTCCATCTTTTTTGTACGGTACTATGTCAAGTCAACATGATTTATTATAGGTTCTGGACAGACCGATTTGATCATTGATTCTCAAGTTACATTTTAACCGTACCAATTACTCGCTTATTACCATGACAGTATTCATATAGGCAAATGTGTGTTAATTTACTACTTTATTCATAACGTGCCTGTAACTTTTTTGGTCTATCCGTTATTATCAAGCGACGCTTGATCAAATTGATTTGTCTCACTAGCCCTCTTCACTTTGTTTCATTTTCTCACTTTTTATTCTGGATAAATGAATGCATGAGATAAAATTGTAGAAGTATGGTCTCCTTCGTTATTAGTACTGATGTAATAATAGACTTTATCCTAAAATCGCAGATGTAATGATGTGACTGCCTAATATATAAGATCGTGTATGGAATTCACACCATTGTCTACACTGGCTCATCGTATCCTAGCACTTAACAATATAGTACTTAGTGCGTCTGAAGGACACATTGAGGCTGACGATAGGATAATATATTCAATGTGAATCAGGGCAAGTTAAACAGAATGACCATGAATGAGATGCTGAGCTATGCCGTCCGGTTGAATGAATTAATTGTTATCGCCCTCTCAATCTTTGACCTTTTTTTCGTGTTAATTGTTGAGCACGAATTTCCCCAATTATCTCACGTTCAGCTTTGACGGTTGTGTAGTTAGGACCAATACCAATACAAATCTATACAACTTATCCCGTATCCAGCTTCGTAGCAACGTCGTCACACAAAAGAGATAGTATACGGAGTTGAATGGAAGATTTGTTTTCATAGTACTTATGTGCGGTTAAACTGGAGCTATATACAGGGCTAGACACCAACCACTAGATCTGTGATAGCGAACTTGTGACAGAACATTAAGTCAAAAGAGTTGTGATTTCATGTGGACGGATGAACACGTTGCTATCAGCCATATATATCCAAGGATCTAAGCATGTTGTCAAGACACAAAAGGTCAGTGTGTATGAACCAGTTAATGAGTGTTTCATAATCAAAATATGTGGAGGCGGTGTCTGTAAACCAACCACTTATCATGGTATTTGTTGATCTTCAGGTACCTGAGGTTAAGAAGGACGATGACAGCTCCAAGACCAAACCACCCTTCTCAGAGAACAAAACTCCACCTAAGTTAAAAGACGATTGATATATAATCCGCTCAAATTCACTGTCCTCAGAAGCTCTCCCGCTAAATGATCCCGAACACTTACTCCATTAAAACACACTAGCAAAGATCACAGTACACCATTTTGTGCACATGTTCCAAACACTAATTTTTCGCCTTTTCCTTTCAGATTTACAATTTAACATTCCTGGGTGTTTACTAGTTACACATCCAATAATCACGCAAGTTCCATCCACACAATGCAAATACACGGCTACAATGTATATAAACTTCAAATTCTATATGACTAAAACTCTAATGACTTCCCTTTTATCTTCTGAATGTTCCTACAGAGAGAAGATCAGTAGTTCAATACCATCTTTTCAGTTTGATACTCATATTTGTTTTCAGAATATTAAGACAGAAAAATCAGGGATTACAATTGCATACAGGGAAAGACGCTATGTCATAGACACTGTTTTTACAGACCACAATTGTGTATTTCACTGTGCTGGGTCAAGTATCGTTGTGAAAGATCTCATAAGACAAAGTTACATGTCATGGCTGGACCGATAAATGCAACCGCGAAGAGGAGAATAACCATGACGTATACATAGATCATGAATATTCATGATTATATTAAAAAAGTGGAGTCCTATTGAAAGGCCAGCCTTTATCAGCTAAAAAGGTTCAGTTATGTGTGGACTGAGGATGCATAGAACACCCTGTGGTGTAAAGCTGATGAATCAGCTATGGTTATCTTTGACCTCAACGAGGCTCGTTCGCATGTTCAACACTCAATGATTAGCCATCAATCATGGAAGCAGTTCAGCGTGGTGGACGATAAGGCTTGGCCTTTTTGAAATCCCGCCAGTCCCAGAAATATAGATGTTCTGAATTATTACACCTCATGGATGAAATAAGGTAAGATAGTTAAACAGATAAAGGAATAGGTACACTTGTAGGATTATGGTCTACTATGATATTAGTGCTGCTTTAATAATAGACCTAATCCTAAATTTGTAGATTTGTCATGATATAACTGCCTAATCTATAAGATCTTACGTGGAAGTCACACCATCGACTACGCCAACTCACTGTATCGTACCAATTAACAACACATGATGTAGAGCAAGGTTAGGCTAGAGAAAGAACAATATATTTAATATGAATAGAAGAAATAAGATAACATTCAGCATGGACCACGCCTGCACGGCCGAGCAATGCCGTTCGATCAACTCTAATTCACTCAACTCATTGTTCGCGCTTTTTCCATTGTTAGGTATTTCCCCGAGTTAAATATTGAATATTTATTTTCTGAGTAGTCTCGTGTTCACAGCTTTGTGGATTGTGTGGCTATTGTCCAATGCCACTACACACTCACTCGAAAACATGCACAAACAAATTCACAAGTAATCATATGTATGAATGCACAATAATGCGTAATAAAAAATTGAGTAATCTTATGTCTGTTCGACCCGATACCACTTAGCATACATATAATCTACAGTAAGCGTGTCAAGCAGATTCTTCACAGATAGTTGACGTTCTGATGATAAGGATCGAACGAATTTCGTCGTTTCTACTCTGAAAACTATGAAAAAGTTCTAGAAACTTAATGTGGTTATTCAGATGCATTTTTCTATTTATTTATAATGAAGTATATCATAACTAAAACGATGGAACGCTAACTTGAACACTATTGGTGAAATTTGAACGGGTTCACATGTTGAGCTGTCTCTTCGTCGCCCAGAATATTGAAATTTAGTTCTAACAAAACCGAAACTGGATCATGTTATAACTTGTCGTTTGAATGCTTGTTGTCTTGGTTCTTTTAATACTACTTTTTGTAACTGGTCGTCGCTGATTGTTATGTCGGAACGTTTATCACTTATACTCGGAACGAGGGACATCTGCAATTCCCACGATCCAAAAGTAAGAACACAAAGACTGGTATAAGTGATGAAGTATTAACCCCAAAACACGACGACGACGATTCTAGTAGAAAATACACTCATTTATACATTGATTGCACACCCATTTTGATTAACCAATAGAATGTATTCACATATATGAAAAATACTTGGAGTAATAACAAATCACAGACTGAGCATCGTTCAAGTCAATGGAATACAAGAATATCATATATTCTACAAAATAAAATATCATACGAGAAAAGAAAACAAATACTACATTGAGTAATCATTTCACTGAATCAAAACGGAAGTAATCTTGAACAAAACTCATAATGAGTAAATCAGTCGAAAATCGACTTTTATTTCCGTCATATCAGACCACACCTGTTTAAGTGAAAGCACCACTTGTTACGTCCAAGTTTTGCCCGTTCCAGTTATTGAAGTACGAACTATCGATCTACTTGCAAATTACGAACCCGAATTAACAATAGAACCGAACTCCAATTTAGATACCAAATTTATTCGCAACTCACAAATAGTCGACCAAATGTCGTTCTAACAACAATAATTATAACAGTTACAAAACAAACCTTCAATTTTGTAGGTTCCCAGAGCAAAACTACCAAATACCAAACCAACGACAAAGGGAAACCAAAATGTCCGAAATTATGATATAAACAAACAAGTTCAAAAGTTAAGTAAAACAAATACATCCAAAAACACAGTAAATTATTAATATACAATAAAAAGGTTTTAATCTTCAATCTTCAGTTCCCCTGTAACACCACTTTTGTAAGAAATCACTTTCAACGGAGACTGATAATAATCTGTTAGGATATTCTATCTCGTTTTCCTCCCAAATTAGTTTTCCTGACCAATGTGACTTTTAACGATCCTATGTATGAGTATGAGGAGTACGTATGACGATCGAACAAAGCTATTTCGACGATTTCCTACTTAATTATAGTCCCACAATATCACTGAATGAGATGATAGGTAAAATACTGAACTTTATAAACAGTAACTACACTAATACAGTGAGCCGATACACCACAAGGCTTGTGCCTCTTCTAAAATTCGCGATCTTATTCAAGAAAGTGGCTATGATATATATGGTTCTCACCTTGGCACCGAAATACCAGCTGGTATAAAAGCTTATTGATGTTTTCAATAAACCCTCATTCCTATGTATTTATGTTTGAAGCCCAACAATTGATTTTGCATTGCCAAATGAAAGATAAATAGTCGTTCATACAGAAGTTTTCGATAGTACTTGGAAACCATCCACGTCTGTACGAAGGATGATAAGATCACTAAATCGGAGATATACTCAGGGAGATAACTCAGATAGTCCTCGGTCGCTGATTAGGCGCAGGTGAACTTAACAAATGTTACTTGAATTTGCGGACTGAATTACAGTAACCCTCAAGGAATTATGGGCAAATATCTCCTAAAATGCTAATACGTAAACCTGTAATGGTATATGAAAAATGAAGACGCGTTTAGTTAACGAGTGCCGTATCATAAAATCGAAATGCAGAGCAGTCAATATAACTGACATCGGAATATTTCATACAATGTCTAGTCAATGTCAGTTGAAGAGGCAGAGGCATTCACTGAGTAAACTCGCTAGCCATCCAGACAAGCTTTGTACGGGTCTTTTGGTAAATGAAATCGAAACCCTGGGTCTTATGATGTTTTCCTGAGAATACGTGATCGTAAATAAAAACATATACAGGCTACACATTTATTTATCCTTCAAGCACAGTTTAATTTTCCACATGAAGCCCAAAGTCAACTTTTTGCGGATGCAGGAAAAAATTTCAAAGCTTCATTACCACAACTCTTAATCCTTGACATGGAATGACTAAGGTTCATTAGTTTGTTTCAGTGAACCAAGATGCGGTACTCTTCCAACTAGAAACACTTTTAAATGTGACGGTGTTTTCGTAATTAATTAGGACGATGTTAGAGATCCTTTTATCCCCTGGCTCTCTTAGCTGGGGGAGAGGGCTTTTGTGCATTTTTTCTGCATTCGTTGTTGGACTTAGTGGTGTAGTCCCGCTTCTATTTCTCCCACTAGATAGCATTTGTTCTAGAACAGGTAACTGTGTATTACCGTCATTTCTTCCTAAACCAGATGTCATTTCTCTCAATAGGTGGCTTAGTTATGCTACTGGAAGTCTTCTTGGTGAAGTTTTTATCCATCTTCTGCCAGAATCCTGGATTAACAGTAAATGTGGCTAAATGTTAACGACACAAACCAACAATATTGTTGGCTATTTATAATTCGTAGGTGACATCGAAACATTTCAGATTCCTGGATTTTGGATACTCAGTGGACTTCTGTTGTTTTTTATTATCGAGAAGTTATGTATTAATGATTCTACTGAAAAAGAGGTACGTCTTTCACTATACATATGGTGAAGTACTTCATCTTAACAATGTAAACCTATTTGCTCCTTTGTCTTACTTTTGTCTCCAAAATGAAAATGTTGTTATTATAGTACAGTTGTGAATAATGACTCGTTCTGGGGTTAGTTTCGACATCGGCCTCTTGCTTGTAACGGCTTTCCATGTGGTTTTAACCGCTGGTCTATCACGATTTTTAAGATATTTTACATTGGTACCAACTTCACTTTATTAGCATGTCGTTAGATGTTGGTGGAGGTCATACACTTAAACCAAAGATCAGTGCCAAAAATCGGACTTCGGCAAAAAATAGACCCTTACATTTTGATCGAGACAATGTTTAGATGTGTTTGTATCACCAGAAAGATTTTCATGTGTACGTACATCCCTTCTAGTCATAACTTCAAAACCGACAGTACTTGAATAGATAAACCGTATTCAAGTTTGCTCAGTCCCTTGTCTGTAGTTTTAAATTCGACTTCATTATTACAAAGCTGTCAAAATAAATGTAATAATTGAGGAAACTTACTGATTAAAACCTGTCTTCGTTTCATGTTATCTGTGGTTGTAAAAGACTGACACAACCTCAGACGTTTGACTATGATGTGTGATGACGTAACGCTATTTAGCTTTTCTTTATCCATTATAAACTACTATCTCCCTATCAGTCAAACAGTTCTGCATATAAATTATAATTGAACACCAGTAAAAAATGATCCACAGAATTACTCGAACCATTAAGAAAATCAATCTAACTATTGTTCTTTATCAGTTGTTACTTTCTAACATTATGTGTTACCAAGATCTTCCTCTGAACACTGTCAGAGACTATATTAAGAGCAGATTTACCGACAAACTATCCCCATATAAGCGAAATTATATAAAAAAATACAAACCAGTGATCGGCTTTCATGTCACGCAAATTAAACAATGAATGCCACGAAGTAGAACCTACCCGTCAAATGCGTTTTGATTGATTACCATTAGGGCGTAACAGTCGCATTCCAAGACTCCTAAATCAAAGCTAGCGTGTGAACTTTGTAATATTTAAACAAGATGACCTTATGAAGAGCTAGTCAAAATAAGTATGATAATGTCCTTACTTACGTCTGCTACCCCTCGTGGAGGAGCATAGGCCGCACACTAGCATTCTTCATCCAGCTCTGTTCTGTGCAATCCTTCAGGTTCCTTTCAGTTACTGTTCATCCTTTTCGTGTCTGCTTACGATTCCCGACGTAGTGTGTTCTCTGGCCTTCCTTCTTTTATGTTTCCCTTTAAGATTCCAAGTTAGTGCTCGTACTGTCATGTAGTTTGATGATTTCTGTAGTGTATGTACTATCCACTTTCAGAACCTTTCCCTAATTTCCTCTTCATTTGGTAGTTGGTTTTTCCTCTCCCACAGTAAGTTGTTGCGCAGACAACTGTTTATAAATACTTGTACCTTTTTGATGATGGTTGTGGTAGTTCTCCAAGTCTCAGCTCCGTACAATAGAACTTTCTTGATGTTCGTATTGAAAATTCTGACTCTGATATTGGTTGACAGTTGTTTTAAGTTATATATGTCGTTCAACTGTAGGGATGCTGTCCTTACTTTGTCAAACCTTTCCTTTACGTCCGTATCGAATCCTCCTTGTTTGCCGATGATGCAGCCCAGATATGTGAAGTTTTCCACCTCTCCCAGAGTTTTTCGATCAAGTGTTGTTGGGTTAGTGTTCTTCGTGATGTATTTGGAGATCTTGGTTCTTCTCTTGTGCATGTTGAGGCCTACTGCTGCAGAGGCTTCTGCTAAACTGGTTGTCTTGACCTGCATTTGTTGGTATGTATGGCATAGAAGTGTTAGGTCGTCTAGCTACATGAAGGCTTTCCATCGTATTCCGTGCTTCCCTTCAGATGTGGAGATCTTTGTAATCCAGTATGTAGGTAAGTAGTTACGGTTTTTTAGACTATTAAGGTTATTCGTTGAGCTTGGTTATAAATTAGACAGAAGGAAACACATTCAGCATATGAATCTGTTTTGTTTTCAAGCTTTTTGTTAATGGCGTTTGTTACTACTAATTTCGGAGTAATTAACATTTTATTAAGCTCACCTTAATTAGTTAAATTAGTCGATTATCACACATGGAATATATAGTAGATAACAGTTTTCTAAATTTCCCTTGTGTATAACGCAGTCAACCATAATTTTCAGTCCACAGGGAATCGATTCTGATTAATTAGAATGTTTCTAAACAGGGTTAAACAACTGGTCATTTGAGCCATAATAACCACTGCTATATGTCATTATTTCTGAGGTTTTCGGATATTCTGATCCCAGCTTTGCGTTATGACTGATATGAATTCCAATATCTTCTGGATTTTGCTTATTTTTCCACTGTTATCAAACCATGTTCGTGGTCTCGTGCAGATAATGACATGGCCTTTTATCTGAGATCTTGCTTGAAGTTATTTGTGGTGTTTGTCCTAGCTACTCTGTCAATTGGTTTCATGTGATTATTACCAAGCGTTTTTTTCACCCCCAGTTCAACTAATTGATTCAGGAAGACTAAAGTTTGCATTATTACTTTTTCAGGTCGAAGGTTATCTCAATCTTGCTGCCAATATAATTGATAACTTTACTCACGGTGTGGCTATTGCTGGAAGTTATCTTGTATCTCTTCGTGTAAGTTGACCTTTACGAAGTTTTTAGCTTTCTGTAACCTGTGCGTAAAAGTGAGAATGACGAAAAAACTTAATTTATGAACGTTTTGGGTATGTTTATGCTCCAAGCGTCTTTAACTTCTTGCTCCAGCGATATGTACTTTTAAATATTCCTTAAAAATAAATTTCCTTTCTATCTTTTGTTACAACCGAGGTAGATCATAAAACGTACATTTGTTTTTAAATGATACAACGATTGCCTTTGTGTTTTTGATCAGGATAAGAGATAGTATAGCTTCAGAGTTCATCTTCACTAGTCTCCAAAATTTTTATAAATTGTGTTGCTGCTGGACCACTGAGTAATGAAATAATTGTCGTAAATGAGCAGCATATCATTTTCAACACAGTTAATTACGACTAATGATAGGATTTTGATTTTCCGCTTACCTGTTATATGACAACACACTATGTGACAACGGCTACTCTTGGTTTCATCTCTCGCCATTCCATCCTTCTAATATGATTGATATAAATATTCCATTCATAGTTATCTAATATGGGTATCACAATTGGGCATCAGAACTCTCACACAAATATAGAAATTTTTGATTAAACAGTTGTAATAACAAAACGTTGGTCACAGGTAAATGAAGTATATATAAAGCAGAGATAGGTGGTGGTTAGCACTGGAATCCAGTTTATTTATTATTATTTATTTTAAAACAAATATTGGTACAAAGCAGCACCAAAATATATATGCGTCCCACAATAACAATGAGAATATGAAGAGATAGAGATTTTAAAGTCCACATAAGAAAAAGGAGAACAATAACGAACAAAAATTAGTGTATGAGAGTGAAATAATAATAATACTGGAAAAAGTAGTTCAGTTAAGAGAAATATGATCGGGAAGAATTCCAGTTAAATAAGTTACTCCCACTTATATGAAGAAAATAAAAGAAAGTTTCAGCAGAATCGTCGCTGGCTTCTATTCTGGGCCATACCAGATAACGTCTCAAGCCACTGTGTTGCATCATCCCTAGGATCCCGACCAGGGAGTCCTGAAGGATCAACAAAAGCCAGTCCTGTACAGCTTTCTTTTATACTACAACACCATATCATACATTGACCACTTCTCCACTTATTCCAACTAGTCCAAGCGTCGGCAAATAATACACGACGTAGAACTCTCCGAGACGGCATTCGCAGAACATGTCCACACCATCGGATGTGATGCTTCAAGATAGAAACACTAACTGAATTACCGTCGCTTTGCCCAAACACGTAGTGCTAAAATTTCACAATACTAACATGGTGTTGACACTGGATGTCAGCAATCCTTCGGAGACAACGATGATTAAACACTGAGAGTCGTATAACACAGTCAACTCAGAGAGGCTTGGTTTCACAAACATAGCGCAAAACTGCTCTCACCGACGCGTTGTAGATCAGACCTTTTTCAACTACACTAACATCACGAAGGCGCCAAAGATGGCCCAGATTGGCATAAGTACAACGCTGTTCTAACACTTGGTGGAGGGTAAAGATATGACCAATACATCCTCCACCAGAACGAAAACCAGCCTGCTTCTCGGTTTTTCAACAATCTACGAGGTACAAGCCAATAGTTTGGAAGCAGTCGGAAATGGACTTATCTCTCCAGACAGTTGTTGCAGAAACGACGTGAACCCTTTTTAAAGATAGGTGTGGTGTAGGTTATTTAAATCCATATAAGTAGTATATAACAGTGGTCAGGCATAGAATGTATTTCAGCAGAAGATTGATAAGGAAAGAACGGAAACGAAACGCAGTTGGTATAAAAATGCATGAACAATGAAATCTGAGACAATTGAATAATATTTACTAAAGAACAGTCAAATTTGAGACGATTGTTTGATATTTTGCAAATTAACTATTTACTGTATGGTTCTCGTTTATAGTCAAACTCGAGGTCACCTGGAGAAGACCGATGGGCTTCAATGGGTTGTAAGGAGCCTGAAGAAACCCAGTGCTTATAAGCGGGATATTTTACGAAGTCGCAAGCGATTTTACTTACCATTTTCATGGCGTTGTGCAATTACAACCAGTGCTCACCTATACTTTTCGATTAGATGGTAGTTAGCCTTGAACCTGGCTCGGTTTGATATTTAGTTGCAACAAAATCCGCAAACAATTTACTGACGTCGATCCGTTCAGGATGATGAATTTGTTAACCACTGAAACGTAAAGTGAGATTCGCACAAACGAGAGAATGATCAGTTTTCAAATAGGTACTCCAAAAGGAGCTGTAGTCTCGTATACAACCACGCCAGCGGTAGCTGATCGCATTTCTCACCGATTTCGCACTTTGATGGAACTTTCTAATCTAACAGCACATAAATGACTGTTAATTGAAATCCATCCTATCAGTGCTGTCTCAACTCTAGCTCTTAGCGCAACACCAACAAATATGACACAGGTCCCCGGATAAACGCACGTGAAACGAGCCTTTCAAGACTACAGATGGAGAGCGAATTTGCAGTACTTAACTAGAGTCTTGAATAGGGGTCTCGGATAGACAACAGACGTCAATATTAAGACTTTCTAAAGACAGCCAACCCTATCTGTTTTTCTATCTACAATAATGTGCGAACGTTGAAGAGAGCCAGTTTGAATGGTATATCTCGTTTCAGAAAGACTTTCAGCATTCGTATTCAGTGGTAGTATTCAACTTTTGACCAGTCAGTGCCTCGAGATTATTTAGATAGGACAGGGCTCCCACCATAGGCGATCTGCTGTATAAGTTGATAAAATAAGAATACGCAAAGTGAGAGTAGAAGAGAGTACATAAGTGACGTAGTATATAAAAAAATAAAAATGAATGTGAATTGTCTGAATTTTAATTGAAGCAAGAATATTTCCAGTAGTAATTGTCATTTCATTTGTATGTGGTACTGCCCTGGTGCCCAGACTGAAGCAGGTGGCTTTTTTAGGGGGGCCACACTCGGAGCCATCGACCTAAAGGTCTGACCCACAAGACAGTGGAGTAACGTCAGGAGATACAGTCCTATGGCAGCCGGTGACTAACAACGGGTTCATACGCCATTTGTTCAATCAGGGTCGCGGTGCCCATGTGCACCATTGGTTTGGAATCAGGGTTTTCCGATTCCCCTCCGTATCCACCAACCCGGTTAGAGCGCCAAACATTCTCTTTTCGTCCTCCCAACTTCGTAAACAACACCCACACCCTGTAAAAACAGTGAGTACAACTTCCCTGTCAGTGGCTGTATACACGTGGTCATATGAGAACATTTTAAGAGGGAGAGCTGACTTTCTCTACCCTCAACTATCCCAGGGCATTTGGGGCCGGAACGTACGTTTCATCGTATTTGTGACTCATCAGCTAGATGAACAGTTGGATTCAAACAATCAATACAAAAATGAATTGAAATCTATTTAACTTACTATCATTTCACTCTTCGTTTTAATATATAAGAGTTTCTGAAATATTTCCAATTCATATGTGTATATATTTACTTAGTAAATGTCATGAGTTCAAATAAATGGCAGTATTTTATTCTGACTATCTCAGTTAGGGATTTTGACGACTACCTGCATATTAGTCCATGAAGTTCCTCATGAAATGGCTGATTTTGTAATTTTACTCCGAAGTGGGTTCAGTCGGTGGGAAGCTGCTAAAGCTCAAGTAAGTCAAGATTTTCACCAACTTTTGTAGTATCATTAAAATACAAATTTCTTATGGTTTCTCATTCGAGTTAATTATTAGTTATTCCAACTGCCTTCAGTTTGTCACTTAATTCGTTAGTGACCAACGAATAGACGCGTACTCAATACAATACAAAGAATTAGTTCTAGTCTTTTTTTTAAACAGTGAAGTGGATAATATCACTTACAAAAAAAGAATTATGAAATTGAAATGGAAACTTATTGGGCCCTTACAGCAAATGCAAAAGAGTAATTGACATGAGTTATAGTAACTGAATGAGAATTTTGTAATTTCACAAAACTTTAATATTTAGTTCTTTTACGTGAGCACCTCAAAGTTACACTCTCTTGATATTATATTCGAAATATCCTTACACTGTTTGACCAACAGGTTACCAGTCGTCCAATATCAGATCAAAATATTTGGATAAAACCAACAGAATCGCTATTACAAAATTTTAATGTGTTTAATATGTAGTTGTAAAACCTGTCAAAGTTGTTCTTTATAACATTAGATGAATAAAATTTATTATGAATTCTTAAGATTATGATAACGCAATTTTTCAATCAAACGAATCAGAGACTAATTCAACCGTCGGTTACTTGTAAACATTGTCCAATTTAGTTATAACTTACCTTTTGGAATGAATTCAAGACACAATATTTTAGTCATTAACATTCAGGAATGTATTTAAGGACTTTAATTTCAATGTTATTACTTCTGTGCTATACCAAAGGCTTCCTAAAAGGTAACTACAGTTAACTCAAAATTATTATGCGGATGATCTATTTGCAGTTACCTCGCCCAACACTGTTTTCAAACCTTAGGAGCGAGTAAGAAAAACAAAGAGTAATCAAGTAATAAGATGGCGGAAGATAAAGCTAGATTTTTCCATCAAAGTAACATCATCTTACTAGTTATGACCTATTACATTTGGCCAAAGACATCATGTGACTAATTGCTTTAAGATGTTTCCGGCCAAACTTAATGGGGATCTTGTTCCAATTTTATTTTCTATAGTTTTGAAATAATGAAGTGTATTTTTCAATATGATACTGGCCAAATGTTGTCTTTACCCACATATTGTCACCACCAGTTAAACGGAATGTAAAACTGTAAACCCTCTACTTTTCTCGCTATCTTTAAGTTCAAGAAATTTTTCCTGTTTTAAATTTCATGCCAGCAGGTGAATTTTAAATCTGGATGAACTAAACTGAGGTACCCAGTTAATTGACCAACCTGATCTCTGTTACTACACATGATTAAAACGTCATCATACGTAGAGCTAAACTAAAATGACTGATACAGTGAGTAGATGTGACCATTCAGATGTTTATGCCAGTTTCTGAACAGCATAGCACAGTGAGGAAAATGGTCGCTTAGTATACCCAAAATATTTGTATTACCTTATTCAAGTTAGATATTTTAAGTCTTAGGTTCTCATAATCACTGCATATACCATAGGCAACGCCAACTTCAAATAAAAGTGGCCTTTTGGAATTTTTACGAAGATACTAAATCAGTTACTTCTATTGCTTTAAATTGGAATAGATGACTCAGCTCAAAAATGCAGACCTAACTATATTCATGTTAATCTGAAGTAATCCTTGTGTTAATTGTAAATCGTCAATTTAAGTGTTTATCGATATTTGCAGGATTGTGTATGTCAGATCAATACTGCTAGTCACTTAACCGAATTAAGTGTGAAGGGCTATTTTAGTCCTTCAATAAATAATTCCTGTCATTATTTCTTTCCTAACGAAAATGTATCTGTGTCTCATTTTATTAAGGCGTTTACGCAGTTGTGTAACATATTTGAACTACGCTATTATAGGTAGCCGTTAGTTTCTTCAGTCCTTCCACACAAACTGTTTCAAGATTTGAGTACAAGAACATATGGGTCATTATTGAGTTTTATTAGGTTAGTCTTAACAACAATTAACTTGCTAATAAATTCTTTATAAACTAACGTTTTTTGTTTCAGTTAGCTACAGCATCTGGATCTACTTTAGGTGCCATTCTAACACTTTGTGCTAATGCTTCAGTAACCGGTAAGTATTAATAAAGCTAGAATGATTCACTAAATTCCAATTATTTTAAAATTTTCTTAACTCCCAGAGATAGTTTGGAAGTAATTTGTAATTCCTCCGCACCATTTACAACTTATGATGCTTTTATACTTCATTTATTCAATAACTGCTCTACGAAAAAATTCAATAAATTGATAAAATCAGATTTTAATCACCAACGTTTTTTATGACTTTTGCTTTCCGACATACTGAATATTTTGTTTGTCAGGATTTCGTTGAGCTTACTTGTTTGTAATTCTGACTCACTGAGAAAATAAGTGAACGATAACATAGGAAAGCTAATATAATTTCTATTTTTAGTCTACTTAAAGAATCATCATATAGATGAACAACTGTCTTCTCCAACTTTTCATATCTTTTAGTTGGGACTGTTTAGTAGTTTTATAATGACTAATTATTAATCCATTGTCAACTGTTTGGTAATCTGCTTCTAAAATATTCAGTAAATATTCCACTTTTTAATCCAATCACATTTTACGAGTTATATAGTTTAGAATTCTAATTCATGATACATTATTAATTAGTAGTCTATGTGTTTGGATTTAATCCATTAGATTACAACTCAAGCCTTTCTCTCCTATTCTAGTCTGAAGAGCTGACAAATATCACTGATGTTCACATTAATAGGTTTAACGTAATATCTTGCGAAGTACAAAACATCTAAAAGAACTAGATTATATAGTTGAATATGCGGCCAAATGATGATATTCACAGACAACATTTTAGCAACTAGTACTGTAGTGAACAAGAACACCAGTGGGGAGAATCGAATGTATTTAACACGAAATTACAGGACTTGTTAATAAAATCTAATAATCATAAAGTAAATGCTTAATTTGCAAAATGTCCACCGATTGTCCCAAAATGACCCAGACTTCATTTTTCTCGCATTTTCATACAAATTTCATCCTGTTTCATCCTTTATTGTTCGATCCTCTTGTCTTTCTGCTGTCAGACTTTCTGTTCGCGACTAACATCATATACTACTTATGTCAATATAAGTAGTACACACCACAGTACCATCCGAATTCTAACATTCAAAACATTTCAGTGTCATTACATTAACTGAGCTGGATAGTTTAGTCGTAAAAATTTTCGTTGTCTTATTAGAAAGTACCAACTTAAAAAATAAGTTTAAGTTGATAACATCATAAAGTGAAGAAAATGCGAGCTTCACAATTGTACTATTTCGCTTAAAAATTACTATTCATCAAAAACTTCCTACCAACTTTGTTCACCAACTTAAGATCAAGAAATGTAATACAATATAAATTAAATCAATTATTCTTAACAATTCTACCTTGTCTTAGTCAATTCTGGACAACCAACAAAACATTCTATATAAATTACATTGAAAAACTATCTTAAGATATTCACTTGATATTGTTTGGCTTGTATCTTCCCATTGAGGTGTAAGACTACAATTGATCAGTCTGTTATTGGTATATGTGCATACTGTGCGTATACCTCGATATTAACTTAATTTACAAGCTATTTGTAAGCAACGATGGATAGTGGCTAGCAGCGGAATCCAGGACGCACGTTTCGTCCTATTTGGGACTCGTCATTTGGATGTACATGCATCTCAGAGCTGATGTTCACTCTGAGACTCGAACCAAGTACCATTTGTTTCAAACGCCATCGCGTTATCTTAAGATATTTTAAGATATGCATATACACGTACAGTAAATTCATTTGTTTAATGAATTTTTATATAAATTCACAGAACATTAATGTCTGTTTAAATTGAATTAATCTGATATAAGTTTTATTTGAAATTTCTCAATTCCAATTCTATTATAAACAATATGTTTTTATGAATAATGAATCAAATATCCAGTTTTTATGATTGTTATTGTTGATAATAATAATACTAGACTTGATTATTGCTACATATTATATACATGAATAAAATAATCTATAAAGTATATGAAGGCCATATTCAATACACTATACATATACATATATGGTCTATACCAGTTACAATGATAATAATTCATGATAAATAACGACCAAAATTATGTATCCTTTTTAGATCGTTAGCTACAATCAGTTTATTTAAACTGTGATTAGCTTAATGACACTTGATTATGTTAAATAGACTGTTGTAACTAATGTTTAGATTTACGTTGTGTAAGATAGAGAAATAGTATTATTTTATAGTTTTTATGTAAATTTAACTGTTTGTTATAAGTACGGTTTTTTAAGCAGAGTTAAATGTGTTGGCTAACAATGGTATCCAAAACACATAGTTCGTCTTATTGTGGGTTCGTCAACTGGAGGTACTTGCCAAGTTCCAGTATTGATGTTCACACCAGGGTTCGAACCCATTATCTTTCGCTTCCAATGAACAACGTCTTAAGCATTCAGCTACCGAGCCTAGATAGCGACTGACTTGTACAATGAGTAATAATTTTAATTTAATTTGTATTGGTTGTTCTAATCTTCTCATTAATATTATGAACTGCAGTCGATCAGTCTTGATCATACTTAATGACAATATCAAGACAATCCTCAGATGATCCATATATCCCAGACGAGACCGATCTATTGCACTCCATAGCATCAATGGGATTATTTAAATAACCGATACAAATAATTTGTGAATTCAATTATTTATAAAAATTGTATTCAAAATAATTTCAGCAATTGAAGTCTTAATAACTTCAACATTGCGTACAGCAAACTTGTTTGAACTTCTTCAGGGTAATAATCGAGCTATTTGTTCAAAGTATGACGAATATTCAGACTTATATATATTAGTGCAAATGTACGGAACTTCAAAACATTGATATTAGTTCATAGAAAGTTGGAATGTATTACCATAAATTCTATATTTTTATCCTGAAAACTTGATAGTGACACGTGAACATATTAAAGTAGAACCTGGCACAAAGAGTGCCTATAATAAGTCTGAGGTCCTGAAGTACCTAAAACTCCTGCGCATAATTTAAGTAAATATCCTTGTGCAAAAAGTAACGGCGAATTAAGAATATTTATGTAAATTATTATAGTGCAAAGGAAAAAAATAACCAAGATATATTTTAATTCATTTTTGTATTGGTTGTTTGAATCTTTTTATTGATGTTTAGGATTGCTAAACATATATTTTGTTTATCGAAAGGTACATTTTATTGTTTAACTAAACTAGGAAAGAAAGCTTCCACAGGTTCCACATTGAGTTTGATTTCGAAACATAACTGCAGTCAACTCAAAGCAACTAGTAGCATGGTCTCTGTGATCGAATGTGATAGGTTATAATTCGTTAGATGATGTCACTTTGATGGAAAAATCTAGCTTTCTCTTACGCCATCTCATTATTTGACGTCTCTTTGTCTTCTCTACTCATTCTGGTGTAACAAACAACACTGTCTATGGTGATCATATAAATGTTGTACGTAAAACGTTCTCAAATCACCGAAACCAGTGTTTTAAACTACTTTCAACGATTAAATATTGATCCCGATAAGCTGAAACACTTTTCGCTGTACCTTAGGACTATTTACCCGACGTAGTGTCCAAATTGGACCATCTCTTATGAGACAACTACATTTGAAAATCTTCAGTTTGAAGTATAGATTTCACATTCACCTAGAAGTACTTCCTGCACCAAATCTTTATAACCAAACTAACATCGCGATAATAATACAGATTAGCACAACTTTGTCTGATTTATAGTATTAAGGATTTTATTTCACTAGTCATACTATCACAATTACTTACACAACTGTTTTCAACAACGTGTTATTCAAAGATGCCCACAGGTTCCGAACTTTTTTAATTTTGTCGTAATTTGATCAACCAATTATTGTACTGACATCAAGCAGAACAAGTGCTGTTTAATTCGCTTGTTTGTCATTTCATATTTCGATGAAATTTTCCGGAAACTTAAGGTTGAAAAGTCACCTTCCTTATCACAGATTTTAGATTTTTTAGACAACTCAACTGACGCGTCCTTACTCGATCTCTGCTTATTTTTTATACATTTATATAAGCGTGATATTGTTACTTTTGCTAACTAAATGAATGTCTCCCTAATATATATTGATAAAGCACCTTAAAATGCTTAGTTTTGAAGTATTTCAACATTTAAATAGAATATAATAACCCAATTTATATTAAGTAACTAAATAATCCTAAATAGAACAGATTTCAATGTATAATTTTTGGAATTGTCATAGCATCTAGGTTTCATTATTGTTGATGACCATCATAAATATTTGTGTGGACTGGGTTTCTACCTGGATATCCAAAACAAAGCAGTTTGTTAATTGGTGAGCTACTTTTTATACTTCTGCCATTGAACTCAAATTTATTTTATATATGCATCAGTAAGCTTATTATAAATACTGGAAACTATAAACTTTAACTACATCTGATAACTAAGACAAATAATTCAAAAGTTAAGGAAAGGCTTTTAATTTCTCCCGTATTTCTACCATAATTTGTACTTTTCCGATATATTTCATATGTACTGTACTTTGGTGATACTGATGGAAAGCATTGAAATACAGTTGTTAAGTTCTTGTCTGTGATTCAATACATTGGCTATATATTATAAACCAACTATTTTTGATAGTAATCTGATCTATCATCTAATTATATGCTAATTAATATTATCATTATCTATATATACTTCATATTCTATTTATTTATTTGGAATTTTCCATAATGTGATTTTCTTCAACTTTACAGGTTGTACAACAAAATGGATACTTCCATTTACTGCCGGTGGCTTTCTATACATTGCATTGGTTTCTCTTCTGCCTGATATTTTAAAAGAATTATCATTTAAGTAAGTTGTAGAAACTTTATAATTTCAACTAATGTTAATAATATATTCAAAAATGAAGAATGTTTGAGCGAACAATTGTTTTCAATAACTTCATCATCAGGCTCTACAGTTATAAGTCCATAATTATAGTATTTTACGAAGGCCAAAATTAAAGCATATATTAATGTATTTAACAATGTTGTGTTAAAAATGGTGAATGTTTGCATCTGTTACGATATATTTATACTTCAAAATTGTATTATTTGCAAATTAGAAATTAGAACATGTACCAGCTTGGTTGGGAAAAGGAGTTGCCAAATCGATTAACAGCATCATTCTTTCTCACTTGGTAGATAGTGAACATCATATCAAAATAGAGGAAGCTCTCTCTGTTTTATATCAAGTTCCAAAATATCTACCTCAAGGAGCCAGATTACAACTGCTTTACATAGCCGAAGCCATCTGGATCAACTCCAAAAGACCAAATTTATGTATCCAGAAAAAATATATCCAGTCTCTTTATTTACCTTGGCCTACGACTGGATCACCGAATACCTAGACTGAATATTATAAACCTCTTACCCCCTTCCTTTATTTTTATTTATTTTCCTTATTATCATTATTTTTTATTATCTCTATCTTAATCCTCACATCCATCATTCCCAATTCGTTTATCGTAATTACCTTGATAACACCACCCCCCCTTATTACATATTATATTCACACAGCAATCCTGTCCAAAACGACATGTTCTTTGACACAATCAAAGGTCGACAGGTATCCCTTTCATGTTACCACCAACTGTGTATACAAATTTACATGTATCTGCCAAAGCAGTTACATTGGTAGAACAGAAAGGAGAGCCTACGTCCGATTCAAAGAACATATTCCGAAGAGTTTGAGATCAAACGGACTAAAAGCATTCAGCAGCGCTGTCGCAAGACATCTCATTGACACAGGACACGAAGTCGATATACTGAAGTCCTTCAGGGTGATCAACAAACAATCAAATTCAAACCTTTTGAAATTCGCGGAAGCAATAGCAATCAAACGTTTAAAACCAGATCTTTGTATACAAAAAGAAACAGTAATAAATCTTTCTTTGCCCTGGTAACATTCACCCCACCCCCTTTTATTTTATTTTATTTATTTTTATTACGTCATTTCAACTCTTTCTGAATTTTATAATTACATCACTCATAACTGACCAATTTCAATTCATATCTCTCTTTATTAACATTAATCTATTTTCAGTTACTTCATTACATAATCGTCTATTGTGTTTTAATTCCATGATTTCTAATCACTATTTCAATTTTCTGGAACCTTCCCTCCCAAACTCTATATATTCGAAACAAAATTTTATAACCTCATTAACTCTAACGAAATCTTTACCACATTATGTTACATATATTTATCCTTCATCGCCCTCTGTTGTATAAGTATGTCAATATCTATAATAACGTTGAATTTCAAATATTTTAGGTTGTAAGCAGCTGATGAGAACCTAACGAAATAAAATGAATTCATATTGTTCTGCATCAACCTTTGTTCTTACTCTCTTTAAAATAATAAAGGGAACTATGTGTATGAAATTTCTCAAAATGCGTCTCCCTGCACAGTCATTCAAGTCACTGAATACACTGCAGAATATCGAGATAAATTACCCGACTTAAGTTTTTTGATGAATGTCTCAAGTCATGCCGTTTCCCACGTCAATTCTTAAAATGTTTGCGCTCATGTAAACTTCCACCTTCTCTTAAAAACCTTCGACGCATCACAAAATCTAACGAAATAAAATGAATTCATATTATTCTGCACCAACCTTTGTTCTTACTCTCTTTAAAATCTTATTATTATTATCTCAATTGACAAGATTAAATTTTCCTAGTATGCATTTTATTCACACAATTTTTCGCATTTTCAATTTTTCTATATAACTATTCTACTGATTGTGACTTGACACGTTACTCCAAATTATTCTAACCTTTATTGAATGACCTTTCTGATTTGCAAATAATACAATTTTGAAGTATATATGTCGTAACAGATGCAAACGTGGTGACATTTTTAACGTATAACATTGTCAAATTCATTAATACATGCCTTATTTTTGGCCTTTGTAAAATATTATAATTATGGACTTATAACTGTAAAGCCTGATGATGAAGTTATTGAAAACAATTGTTCGCTCAAATATTCTTCATTTTTCAATAGTCTATAGGGATTTTTGATAATATATGCCCAATTCTCTCTTTAATGAAATTCTTCTAAGTTAGGGTTATTAAAACTTCTAATCAAAAATTATATCTTCGTAATTATTCATTAGCTTTTAAGTTAAACTGTACACTCATTTAATAAAAAGTTGTGATATCTAAAAATGTTAAACTTTTTTTTAATATATCAGCTTTTTTCTATGTTTAAACAACCCGGGTTTAATCTGTAAATAAACGGCCGTCCAGCGCTTTCAGTTCTTCTATGGTGGTCTAGTTTCAATTGATTCATGAATTCAACTATAAAATTACTAAAATCTTCACAAAACCCCTTCTGACTATAAATAAAACTCAAAGAAGTGTAACTTATTACTTACTTACGCTTGTTACTCCTTGTGAAGGAGTATAGGCCTCTCACCAGCATTCTCCATCCAACCCCTGTCCTGGGCAATTCTTTCCAGTTGTTATTCATCCTTTTCATATCTGATTTTATAATCAAAGGAAATTGAATAAAACTGTTATCATCAACCCTTCTTTAATCGCTAAGTAAACCAATTTGCATATATTCTTTCTTAGAAACATAACTAAAATAAAATGTTTACTAAAATATTTTTTGATATTTCTTAACTTACTGCTTTATCGCACTAATACTTTTACAAACTCTCAATAGTTAAATTATTATATAAATAACTCATTCATTATGCCTTCTGTTATTTTTAGGGAATCAATTATTCATTTAACTCTTATGTTTTTTGGTTTAACTTCAATGGCAATTGTCTCATATGCAATGGATTGAATTGATAAATATTATGATCAGAATCAAAATAACAACAACAACAACCATGTTACATAATGAGATATACACAGATTTGTAAAGAAAAAAATGATCATCGATCGTTGAAAACAGAACACCTAAAAGATTATCTAATTTCTTATATCCGGTTGTCATTATACCCCAGTCTCATTCTCACCTTATTTGCCTTCTCTTATTTATCCCGTTAATGTATATGTATAAACATAATATGTCTTATTGTTATGATAATGATGAGAAATCTAGAAAAAGATCTCTATGAAACAAGTATTCGCCATTATTCATCCTCTTTTTCTCTATTGTGAGTTTCTTTCTTTCTTTTTCTATATATATGTAATCTGATCTATTCATTGTTAAATCCAGTGATAATAATATACCATTATATGTCATGCATAGTTGATAGAAAAGAAGCAAAAATTTTCTTTTACAAAATCTTTTACTATATTAAATCTATTATTGAATATTGTACAAGTTGTATTGTTTTAAACAGTAAACAACTAAAATTTTAATTGTGTTGTATAGTGTAATAAGCTAAACTTGGATTACTATTATTATTATTATTATCATTATTATTACTATTAAGCGTATATTCTTTTGATTTCAAACCATCCAATGAGTACTTTTTATTCAATTTGACATTGACATTGATTATGTATCATCTAATTTATAATTTAATGATATTAATTAATATAAGAGTAATTATTCTTTATTATTAATTTTACATACTGGTGAATAGTAACTGATGGAGAAGATTGAGAATGAATCGAATCATTTCTTTTCTCTTTTTTTCTTTTCTTTATGAAATTAGTTGTTTGTAGAAAAACAACTTCAGTTTTTCCACTTACTCTAATCTTATCAATTTATCAGTTTTTTATGAAGTGCCAAATGCCTGAAAGCTTAACATACTGTTGTTGTTAACTTAGATATATATGATTTCGTTATTTTGCTTTTGTTTGTTCAGACAAGATAAAATAAACATCATAATCCTGAATGTGTTCAATATGAACATGTGAAATAAGAAAGATCCATTCAACTTGTACAAACAATTTAACTAACCTATTGCAGCATTAACATATTTTTTGTATGCTGATTAGTTGTCATCCAGGAGTTTATGAGAAAAAAAACTCATTAAATTTCACTCTTATTCTACGCTTCATTTGCCTTCGATAAAGTATACCATTTCTATTCAATTTAGATTGATTTGTTTGATCACAATACCTAATAACATGTTTAAAAGATTATATATATAGTAGTAGTATCCTAATGAGTAGAAAATTGCATTACTAACGTCTTGTAATTGAATGTAAATCATTTCTTCAAAATAAATTTTATTAATAACTAATTTTCAATATGACACATTTTCTAAGTACATCTTTAAATATAATCTGCTTTTGTTTAGAGGTTCGTGTTACTATCCGATTGTCTAAGTGAAAGTAGATGGAATAGGGTTCGAGTCTGAGGAATGATGATGATGGTTTTAAAACAATCGACCCAGTTTTATAAAGGGTTTATAGGTCAGAAAACTGACACTTGGTTATAAATAAGTTCAGTCATTTTAATACGAAATTTGAAAAGGATACACTAAATTTCATTATCATTCTAATCTACTTCAAAATAACACTTCAGGTAAATATTGATCACCATTTTACACAATAGTAATTTCCGAAACATCGTTACAATGAATTCACTACATAGCAAACTAGACAGATAGTAAGCATAGTTCGATGTGCCCTTAGTAATATCAAACCGAAAAATCAATGAAATTTAAAGGTTTAAGAAGTTACTTTTTTTTCAATCTTTCTCTTAAGGACGAAAATATTGTTCAAAGGTCAACTGAATTCTCGCTTTATATTCTTACATGCATCTTGATATATACATACATATTTTTTTTACTATATTATCGTTTGTATCCTTATAGCATGTCACCTATCAGCTTTAAACCTTTGAAAAAAGTAAACACATTGTACCAAGTCTAATCATTGATTTTATATTTGATTTCTTTTATAATTGATAAGAAAACTAGTATTTCCCGCTATGTTAATGTCACGTGTGGCAACTTAGACAGATACATAATTATACTGCGTCCTAGATGCTGCCCAATAAACATTTTTAGGTTTTCTTACTAATATCATATAAAGGATTTTTTAACAACTGATTCAGAAAATTTCCTGTTTACCTGTAACTATCTCACTAGTCTCTGAACCTACGTTGACAACTAACTGGTTGACTTTCTCAGTAAGAATAGCATCACTCGAATTTCTGTTTTATTATTTACTAGGGATAACTTAGTAGGTATTTTGAACTCGTTTTACACCTCTTAAAGGTGCACCATCATTATTCGATACAGGATCGAACTTTCGAGTCTCGTTGTAGGCATAATGCTTTTAGATATATTACTGATTATTGTTCAGAATGGTTTCACGACTATTCAAATGGATACCTCAGAACCAAGAACAATCTCGACCAAACAACACTATTTTCTCAATGTGTCTGCTTTCGTTTTCCGTTCATCATCTTGGTAATTAATGTGGTCATAAACAAAAGAATTAATTTCACTTATTAAGCATGATACTACCCAGTATGCATGATATTTGTCCAATCTCTTTTTGACTTCAATGTTATTTCATTTTAAATGGATAATATTTTAGTAATTTATATTAGAATGCATACAACTAATCGATATGGTACTGTCATCTTTGCCATTTAGTTTCATACTGATTTATCTACTTCTGGTTTATGACAACCGATTACTTTCTTAACCATTTTAACTTTATAGACTATATCCATATAATGGGTATTTTCTAAATATAACAGTCCAAGGGAAATCGAAAAATAATTACTTGTATTTTGAATTACAAGGTACTGAATTCAAGTCATAATGTAAACATTAACAATGAGATGTACATCCATTCGACTGACCAGTCCCAAATGGGTCGAGATACACATCTTGGACTCCCTTGTTTGTCACAGTCTGTTTTTCATATTCAATTCCTTATGTTTATCTTTCTACTACAAAATAATTAGATGGTGGTTGGAGGTAGTCAACAGGAAACCCTGGGCCCGGGTTTCGTGCTACTTGGCACTCGTCAGCAAGGTGTACCTGTAATCTTAAGGGAACTGGTGCTCCCTGACGAATTCGATCCCGTGTTACCCAGCTTCACAGTCAGAGACGTTACCACAGAGCTACCCGGGCCGTGATGTAATCACAATTAGTTTATCACTGGGTGGTGATCAATGTCATGTGTGTCAAGTCCTTATTTAGTGCAGATCGAGTGCTATCGATCATGTTGCAATGTGGCCACCAGTCTAGGTGACTCGACACTGCGGGCACTATGTATTGAGATTAGAGTATTATTTATAATGTCAAGTGACATTTTTCTTAGATTTATGTAAAATACTACAACGGTAATATAGATCTGTTTGATTCATTTTCCATTAGTTAATCAGTTCCAATGAATACTTGTTAGATTTTGTATTTTCATCATGAGATTTGTATCCCTTTCCAAAGAAAATCGATATTAAATTGTTTAGCAATAATATCAAATATGTTTGGAGCCTTTTTCCCTTTTTGTTTTTTGGATAATTGTTTACTGATTCTTAAAGTTTTATATGTTTACTTTTTTCGAAGTATGATTGGTTATTAAATACTAATCAACATATAATAAATATCAGAAGAGGGTTTTGAGGAGAGTTTTAGTAATTTAATAGTTGAAATCATGAGTCAATTAAAGCTAGACCACCATGGAAAAACTGAGAGCACTAGCCGGCCCATTGGTATCGCTCACGAACATTTAACCTTTAGACAACTGAGCCGGTATACAACGGTGTTAATGTTTACCTTCAACCAACCCACGAAATTTCACCAACGTCCATCATTGTTTTCAGTGAGTTACTATCTCATAACAGACCTGGTTGAACTCCACTGGTCACTACTTCTCACTAGAACTTCAGGAAATACCTCTTGAAGCTAATCACTAGTGAGCACATGATGATTCTGACATAACAAATAATCATTTTAAATAAATTTGTTTAAGTTAAATGATGAACTACATAGTTTTCTTTACAAATAAATAAGGTAAGTAGTGTGGTGCGTGCTACTTATATTGATGTAAATAGTATATGACGCGAGTCAGGAACGTAATGTCTGGCAGCAGAAGATGGGGGAAGATCAAGAAAGGAAGAGCGAGAACACAATGCAATTTGTAAGAAACCGGATGAACAATGAAATGTGAAACAATGGATTGATGTTGGCAACAGGAACAGTCCAAGTTGATATGATGGATTGATAGTTTGCAAATTAACGATTCGCTGTATAGTTTTTCTATTTTACCAAGTAACTCTGTAATGTCGTGCTAGATACATTCGATTGTCCCCACCCGTGTTCTGTTCAATGCAGTAGTATATTGCATAAGTTATGGGAGTCTTATCGTTTAAATAAAAATACGTATAAATGAATTTATACTTTTTATTTCTTAGAATATTTTCTAATAATGGTTGAAGGCAGTTTCAACTTCAATCCTTATTAATAAGGAATAAAATTAGAAATTATGAACGTATATTGCATATAAAATCTGTGGAAATAATCATCAATGTTTAAGGTATTTGAGCGAAATTATCAGTGAGTTAGAATCGATATAAAGTCTGTGACAAATGTACTTTAGTTTAACTTATCATACCCCATCAACACGGTGAAATGGAATTAAAGATGTAAATGTCAAAGAAGACGAAATAGTTGTGGTAACAATAATAATGAGAAAGGTTAAATATTAAAACGGTATGTATGGAAAAATACTGTAGCTAATAATCTTAATCAGTCATACAAAACGATATATTTGTGTTAAGATGAGATAGTGCACGCGATTTCCATTCATCTAGTCCAGTGGTCACATTAAAACTTGGTCGATAGAATTCAATCTGTACTAAGGAGGACCTAACACACTTGGCATTGATTACTACCCAATGATCAATTAATTGTAAAAACATGTATGTATATCGGTTCAAGTTGTCATACAACATTATTACAACGAGATAAAATTATCAAGATGAATCCTCAAAAAAACAAGTGATAACATAATCTAGATTTAAAAAAGGGATAAAGAGTGAATACATTTGGTGCATTGTAACCGATCCCTAGACATGTCATCCAACATCTTCAACCATTAATTGAGATTATCATATGGTTAAAGCTTTCAGTTTTTAAAAATTCATTTGAAAATAAACATTAACATGTTAAATAAACAAGACTGTAGTTTGTAATAATCCGTATATGTTGTTGACAATAATTAACAAATCCAAAGGTCATTATTACTAAGAATAAGATAAAATGTATTCGAGTTATACATTTTTACCAACGAAAATCTCAAAGGTAAACTACCTAATAATATTACCGTATAATTTATTTATTATTTCAATTGAGATCATATAAGTAGAGAGAAGAATTCATTTACATATATGACTGGTTACTGTATGAAGTCAGTTAGTCAGCTACAACGTAGGACCAGGCACATATATGCATCGGTTCAAGTTGCCATACCTCATTAACACAACAAGATGAACACCGAATTCATAGATTAGTTAAATTCAGAGGTGGTAGTATATAAAAGAAAGATTGCAATAAGGATATAGTACACGAAGAAAGAATTAGTTCGTAGAAAGAAAGATATGAAGTGATTTTAATCTCAGTTTAAGTGAAGACAAAGAGTGTATACACCTATGCCATTGTGATGGATTCTGAGCCATGTCACCCAGAGTCTCCAACCATTGGTTACGATAGTCACGCGGACCCCAACCGAGTAGTCTGCGTCTACCGACATGGCTCAGACTAGAAGTTAGTGACTTCAAGCACTGATGCCACGTTTTGGTTTGGCCACCACTAACTTTCTTCCAACCATCTCCAATACCGGATAGCATTGCACGTCGTGGTAATCGGTGTTCAGGCATACGTAATACGTGGCCCAACCATCTCAGTCGATGAAGATTCATAACCTCATCAACTGATTTACCATCATTCCCTAATACCCTGCGTCTATCCTCACTATTACTTACCCGATGATCCCAGCAGAAGCCAGCAATATTTCTAAGGCATCTGTGGTCAAATATTAATAGCTTACGAGTGTCTTCTACTCTTAATGGCCATGTTTCGCAGCCGTAAATTAAAACAGAACGGACTGCCGCGCAGTATACTCGTCCTTTAATTGATAGACGGATATCTCGCCTTCGCCACAGGTGACGTAAGTTGGCAAAAGCCAAACGAGCTTTTCGAATCCGTGCTGAGATTTCGTCAGACAGCAACCCATTAGGGCTGATTAAACTTCCAAGATAAGTGAAGTTGTCAACGCGTTCGACTACTTCACTCCCTATCCTTAGTTCAGGTGTTGACACAGACCAGTCCTGAAGCAGCAGTTTGTATTTAGAGGGAGAGAAGCGCATTCCAAACATTCTGGCCACTGTAGGAAGTACATTTTTTCTAATGTTGTACATATTCTGTTTATATTTAAACACCATTAAAATAGAACAATTAACATTTAGAATAAACAGTACCTGTTTTAATAATCTGTAAATTAGTTTTCCTAATAGACTAGTATTACATAGTTACAAAATATAAAATGTCATTTCAGTTAGGAAGTTACACATAAAACATTATATATTTGATTGGCAATATAGTCTATGTGTATTATTCCATTAGACAACTATCTTTGTGTATATAGACATTATGAACCGGAAAATGAAATCTTTATTTTTATTGTTTCGTCTTCAGTAGCTTCATTACGTTAACGGATGGAAAGAAAAACAAACAAACAAACCAACAGTGAATATAAATTATTAATATTCATTTACATGATTACTTGACCTAAATAGTTTGTTGTGTGTGTACTACAACTAATTGCATTTTGTTTGAACAAAGATTAGAGTTTGTTGAAAGTGTTTTGTTTTCATTGTTAAATAAGTTTGTGTTTATTTTACTGGATCATGTGTTGAATATTTCTAAATGGATTTTTTTTAATAATCCTGTATAAATGGTAAGTTATGTTGACAAAGGAATATTAATATCAGAAGGGGTTTTTGTGGACATTATAATAAACTTAATAGTTGAGATCATGAGTCAATTGAAGCTAGATCATCATGAAAGTTCAATCATAGTATGGAACTACTCAGCAGTGCACATCCCGCCTCAAGAGACTCGAACCCAGGACTTATCGGTCTCGCACGCGAATGCTTAACCTCTAGACTACTGAGCCGGCATTCAACGGTGAACTGCCGAGGAGTCCCACAATAAGATGAAACGGTCATACAGTGTTTTCAGGCTATCCATGATTGTCTAGCTTCGACTAACTTATGATCTCAACTATTAAATGAATTTTCATACACATAGTTTACTTTTATTATCTTAAAGAGAGCATGATTGAAGATTGGTGCAGATTAATATGAATTCGTTCTATTTCGTTAGGTTCTCATCAGTTGCTTACAATGTAAAATATTTGAAAATCAATGGTATTACAGATATTGACTTACTCATACATAAGAAGGTAATTAAAGATGAATATATGTATTATTATATAGCGAAGATTTGAATAGAGTTAATAAGGTCATAAAAATTGTTTGATTCGAATAAATAAAGTTTGTGAGAGAAACTTCCAGAACATCGAAATCATGATTAGAACTCATGAAGTTAGCCAACATTAGACGATTGTGTAATGAAGCAACTGAAAATAGATGAATGGTAATAAAGAAAGATATGAGTTGAAATAAGTCAGTTATGAATGATGTAATTTTAAAAATTCAGAAAGAGTTGGAATAATGGATGAGTAATAAATAAAAAAATTTAAGAATTAAAAAGGTAGGTTTAATGTTACTAGGGCAAAGAAAGATTTATTACTATCTCTTTCTGTATACATAGATCTGGTTTTAGACGTTTGGTTGCTATCGCTTCGGCAAATTTCAAAGGGTTGGAGTTTGACTGTTTGTTAATCACCTTAAAGGACTTCAGTGTATCGACTTCGTGTCCTGTGTCAAAAAGATGTCTTGCGATAATACTGCTGAATGCTTTTAATCTGTTTGATCCTAAACTCGTCGGAATATGTTGTTTGAATTGGACGTAGGCTCTCCTTTCTGTTCTACCAATGTGGCTGATTTGGCAGATCCATGTAAATTTGTATACAAATGAATTCATATTATTGTGCACCAATCTTCAATCTTGCTCTCTTTAATATTAAGTGAATATTTATTATGATACACGTAGGTTACTAGTATTCGATCATAGGTGTCTTCGAAACATTGCTCGTATATCATGGGACCATCGAATAAGTAACACAGTTGTTAGGAAACGGGTACTAGGTAAGGATGGCAAATCAATTGATGAAGTAGTGAAACTTCATCAGTTGAGATGGCTGGGACACGTGTTACGTATGCCCAACGACCGACTGCCTCGACGAGCGATGTTCAATGGTATAGGAGTAGGTTGGAAGAAAGCTAGGGGTGGCCAGACCAAAACATGGCACAAAACCATGAAGTCACTGACAAGTGGACTGAGTCATGTTGGTAGGTGTAGACTACCTGGTTGGGGACCGCGAGATGATAGCAACCGATGGTTAGAGACCCTGAATGACATGGCTCAAAATCGTTTGCAATGACGCAGCTGCATCCACTCTTTGTGTTCTCCCAAATTCTAATCTGAATTCTTCATGTCCCTTTTTTCCTCTTCCCAAATTTGTTTCACTGGATTATACTCTTTAAATAACATCTCTAAACCCTAATCTTCCCGATTACTGCTTATACTCCTACTACCTCTACGATTACGGGATTTGAATCGACCACTGCATCTGTGTGCTAATGTGGTGTGGCAACTCGAACTGATGTACGTACGTACGAAGTTCTACGTTGTTACTGACTGACTGACACGTCTTAGTATTCAGTATCCTTACTGAAATGATTTAATTGTTAAATAATAACTGTATTTTTTTCTACAAATATCATTCATTCCTGTAGCATAGTTACTATTGTTATTGCTCATAATATTCTTTTGTAATTGTATACAATAATTGTCCAACATTCCGGTTAAATATCAATCAATTACAGAATAGGATTCTATTTTTTCTTTTGTGAACTATGTAGACTGAGATTTTATTTTTAATCCATTTGATAAATACTTTTAGTTATCATTCAAATCTGATAAAAAGAAAGAAAAAAAAGTCAAGTAATGCACAATGTACACTAAGACTTATCTCAATGATGAATACTTGAATCATAACATTTCTACTTTCATCGGAATTGTATCATTAGAAACTTCTTAAATTGAATTCAGATGAAACAATGAAATGGTTTGCTGAATTATGAAGTGTAGTTTGAATTTGAATAAATGATCATAATTTAATTGATTAATATCAAGTGAATTTAAATTCACCACATTGCACAAGTAACTGGCTGTCAGGACTCAGTAGCTGAGTGGATAACGCGATGGCGTTTGAAGCGAATGGTAGTGGGTTTGAATCCCAGAGTGAGCATCAACTCTAAGATGCAAGTACATCCAGATGACGAGTCCCAAATAGGACGAAACGTGCGTCCTGGATCCCACTGCTAGCCACTATCCATCATTACTTACAAAAAGATTTCAGTAGTGTTTAATTTAATATGAATGAATGTTGTTATAAACTGATGACATTCAGATTTTTTCCTGCACTAATTATTCTGTTACTTTCTTGGAAAGAATTAACAGCGATCTGCTTGAAAATTTGGGCTACCTGTTCCTGCCATGTAGATATTTCAACAAGTTATCTAATCTTTTTTACTACATCATTATGGCTATTAATCGCATAACCGATTCAGGTGAGTTTCTGAAAAGTCGACAACCTTTCGTTCTACAAGTTACGAAAAGCCCAATCAGAGATATTATGGTTGCTGGCAATACTCAGTGAAAAGGATGTACAATATTTCGATGTTGATTGACTGAACTGTGAACATCTAACAGGCGATCACTCAATATTTATTTCAAGATATAACAAGAAATGAGAAAAGGAAGCTTGTTGAAATACTTTGAGCTGAAAATTCAATGTAATACTAAAAATATAACATTGAATATAGCTATTAATAATAATAACAGTAATGTACTAATGGTTACGATTTTTTCTGGTCAGTGTCTTCTAGCAAGGTTCTCTTTTACGGGAATGGATTGCAAACACCTCACATAACCCTTCTCCTTTACCTGACCTAGACACAGAAAGTAATCTGAGAAAGGCTTCAGGCGGAGCCAATTATGTATTACAATATTGTATTATTATTTTACATGAATCAGAGGGTTCTGTTAGTTTTGTAATAGTAATTTTATGAAACTGGCTCACTATAGAAACCAAAAGAACGACAGTGTTTACAGAATACGACAATTTCATCGTATTTCGTTGCTTTACTCTGCAATACATGACTTAGTTTATACTTACGCCTGTTACCCCTCGTGGGTCACGTCTCATCGATCAAGAATTTCCACCCGACTCTGTTGTGAGCTTTCCTTTCCAGTTATTGCCAAGTACTATTCATGATCTTGATTGCTGTTTTTAAACCATGGCGTTCTGTTATCTGACCTGCTACTTTTCCTTTTTACTTAACGACTTCTAATTGAGGCTTGTCTTGTGATACCGTCTAATAATTTTCATAGTATGTGAACTATTCACCTTCAGTATCATTTTCTAATTTCTTCCTCAATTGGCAGCTGCTTTGTTCGCTGTCAGAGTAGATTATTTCCGAAAGTTTTTGCCAACCGGGTATAGGTTATCCTGCATAGTCAAATGTTTAAAAATACATGTACTTTTTTTATGATGATTGTGGTAGATCTCCATGTTTCAGTGACGTACAGTAGAACTAATTGGAGGTTTGTATTGAAAAATATGACTGATGTGTGCTGATGGTTGTTTTGAGTTCCAGATGTTCTTCAGTTATAGAAATGTTTCCCTTGATTTGCCAGCCCCTGCCTTTAGATCTGCATCAAATCCTTATTGTTTATCAGTGATTTTGCCCACGTACGTAAAAGTTTCTACCTCTTCCAAAGCATCGCTATCAATAGTGATTTGGTTGCTACTCGCTGTGTTGTATATGTGGATCTCGTCTGTTTCCTTTTAAATGTTGAGGATTACTGCTACAGAGCCTGATGATAAACCGGCTGTCTTCATCTTCGTTTGTTGCTGACTATGGAATAAATGTCCTAGGTTATATGTGAACTCTAAATCATCTAGGCTATACAGTGTATCCCCTGGTTCTCATAACTTGTGAAGGTCTTCATAATTCCATTAATTAGCATAAAAAAGAGGAAAGATGAAAGTGACTACTCTATACTATTTCACTCTTCACTTGGAATGCATCTGTGGGCTGCCTCCATGAATGCCTTTGATATTCATTTCTTCGTAAGCGTTCTGTATGATGGTGACAGGTCTGTTAGTATTTGTTCTCCCTCCAAAACCTTTATTAATATAACGTGGGGCAACTTTGCAATTTCTTGATTCACACTGATTAATCCCTGATTAGCAGCCGATTTCATGTTTCTCTAATTCCTAGCATTGATTAAACTCTACCGATCGATTACAATGAGGCCACCAGTTTCAGTTACTCAGCATTACGTACTCAAAATTTTGATATTAGGTGGTTGAAGTCAAATAACAAAGAACCGGAAGTCTATGTTTCATGCTGGATATCACCTGACAGCAAGGCGTATCTCTACTCTTGTAGTAATTGAAGCTCTCTGTAGGATTACAAATCTCATTAACAAATGCGATAGTCAAAGATTTTACCGTTGAGTTGAAATGTTAACACCAGTTCCAATGATTTGTAAGCTACGGTGTATAATATCATCATTTGACAATGTCATTAACGCTTTTAGAACAGTTTATGATACAGAAATAACCACATTAATATTCAGGCATGTATGCAAAAAACGCAGAGATTTGTCAGGTTATAGTGTGACCATTGACAAAATAGATGAACTATTAATGAATTACTAACCAGGTAATCTGCCTTTACCGACATAGCTCAGGTCAGTAATCACTGACTTCGTGGAAGGATGCCACATCCTTAGTTTACCCACCACTATCTTTTGTCATCTTCCTTCTACTCCAGCCAAGATTGCATGTTAAGGTATGTCTTATAACTTGTGGCCTGTGTGCCCTGTTAATGTACATGTAATGGTAACGCCAATTAGGGAGCATTGAATTATCGATCAGACCAATGACGCATGAAACACATGCGAGCAGTCGAGAATCCTGACTTTTCCAGCTTTCCGCCTAGCCCAGCCAGTTAAGTCCAGAACACCGATCCGAGCCTATGCGATAAGAATCATTTATTTCAAGCATACTGGGTTTATATACCAACCAGACAGACCACATCGTACCATAAAATATGAAACAGCATTTGTACAAGAATTAGCCAAATGTGGCTGTGAATTAGGGGGATAGCAATTAAAAGACAGGGCATAATTCAAGAATGGTAAATCGTATAATAACAGTTCATAGGTTAAAATATAGCTCATAATAAGAGGGACATGAATATGAAAATTTTAGTTACTTAACAACTATACGATAAAAAATATACGCATAATATTGGTTTATAAATGGATTCCAAAAGTTACCATTCATTATGCCTATCGGGACATAACAGTATGCAACAGACGAACATCTTTAATCGTGTCCCAGCCACCTCGTTCAATGAGGCCTCACAGTTCAATCTACCAGTATTCCTAATACATTAATTTTAACCTCAGTATTGCTTTCAGGTCGATAAAACCATTACTAACCCAGATTCCCTTTTAAATCCCTTAAAAATGAGTATCCTTTCAAAGCTGCTAAAATCACTTTAACAACACCTAGAGTTTTCAGTGTAGCGCATGGGCTTACTGATATGATAATGAATAAATTGATAAAACAATCAGACATAACCTTTAATATCAAAACGAAACTTAAACAGAAATTAAGCTTACAGATAAATACAATTACAAGCTGTTGAAATTTCGAAACATGAGATAAAAAAGGGTGAATTATCAGTTTGATACATTCATATCATATAAGAAAGATTTATTCAGAGCCAATTTTAAATATGACCTCACTGTACTTCAATTCGCTAAGGAAAATTTCCTAGTAGGTACAAATAAATGTAATGAAAATCTACAAATAAAACTGAATTACAAAGCATGAAAGTAAACTTGTCCATCTGCAAACAGAATACAAATCTTTAATCTCTCCTGGCTAAATCATGTCACTACACAAACACCAATCACATAACGTGACCTTTCCTTCGGTATATATTTTTCCCTGATTGGTTCATTTTAATGGCATAATTCCAACTACTACACACTGACTATTATTATTTTTCATGCTGATATCATTAAGCTATTGATTTAACAATAACTTCATCCTCGGTGAGCCACTTTTTTATTATACAGATGGATGGGATGAATCAATCCAAATAAATAGTTGAAAAAGAATTCAATTATAATTTTCAAAAATTAAACATTTTTTTCATAATGACAATCAGCCAGTGGCCTAATCTGTAAATATAACGAAATAATAATATATTGTGAACATTCCACTATGAAATAATGCTACAGGTTAGGATGGAAGATTTATAGCTTACTCCACAAACGCAAATAAGCTATAGATACTGTACATGGAGACAAATAAAAATTTTGTTTGTCTACTATACTATGAATCTTCAATTAATTCGTATTTTATGGTGTCATGAAATTACATTTCACTTGAAATATGATTTAGGTGAGAGTTATACGTAAGAAACCTTCAACTAAAGTTTTGTGCTTCGTGGCACTTATTATTAAAGTGTACCTGGAGCTTTCAGCGAAATTACGCTTTCTAAACAATACAAACCCACGTCATATTGCGTTTTCATCAAGCACCGTGTAACCCTTACTCAGTCAAACAGAACATAAAAGAGATGGATCGTGACTAGCAGTGGAATCCAGGACGCGTGTTTCTTCCTATTTGAGACTCGTCAGCTGGATGTAAAAGCATCCTAAGGTTGGTGTCCACTCCGTGACTCAACATCACCTATAAGATGCAGGTACACCCGGCTGGTGAGTTCCAAACAGGACGAAACACGGGTCCTGGACTCCACTGTTAGCCACCGTTCATCTCTGATTATGATGCTTGTGACCTAATGTCAATATTGAGGCAGCCCGCACAGGATCCCCATATTCCAAAGAGACTGGTTAATTACAGTCCTTAACATCAACGGAAAATTTCAAACAACGAACACAAATGAAATAACATTGAAGACTTTACAAATATTTTAAAGCCATACAACTAAATACTTGCCAAATTATTTGCTTAAAATGGTTAGTCTTTTTCTTTCAACATGGAAAAATTATTTGATTGCTTCAGAATAAACAGATCAGTATTACTATTAAAACGGCATATATCTATAGTTTTATACGTAAGCAACAAATATATTTAAGAATTATTTATCTGAACCAATTAATACCTTCGTTGAACTAATTTGATGAACCGAGTGCGTGAAAGATATACTATATCATGTTTAAATGATTAAAACAAATTCAGCTCAATAGTCAATTAAGTATGTTTGTACAATACTTTGATTTAACTCCCCCTGGAGACCGTCTGGGTGTACTTCCGGTCGCAGCCCCCCTATCAAGGACGGTTGAACGTGAGGCTAGCAACTACGCATCGTAAAAAGAACCTAGCTATAAATCGGCAACCAATGAGACTTTGAAATACAGCTATTGGGTAAGCGCTGAAATTTTATTAATGACTGATTATTTGTTTAAACTACAGTAAGTATATGATAATTTCAAATTTTAATAATGTTAAGTGGTGGGGAGGAATTCATAAACATAGGTTTTATGCTAATTGATACTCACCGAAAAGAAATATACATAATCATGTGGGGATTGGTGCTCCCTAACAGATTTGAACCCTGGTCATCGAGTTTTACTGTCTCACATGTTACCAACAGCCATACTGTAACTTAAACGATAGAGTTCTGTGAGTTATTAAGGACTAGACAAACATGACATTGACTTCAATACAGTGATAATTAAGCGACAAAAATTGTAATACAGTAACCTAATAAGAACAATCAATTTGACAGAGTAGAAAAGTCAACAAGTTATTTCAAACAAAATGATTGGTAACACAGTTTTTTCTTCGGAAAAATATCTTTTTTTTTAAAAAATTAATCTGATAAAAGTATTTGTTTAAGCCATTTACGTTCAATTTGTTCACATTTCAGTGAAGTATATAAAATAAAAGTTTGTAAACATTGCATTAACTGTTCATATTGTGCAATATTTTGAGGATAAATTCTATTTTGTAAATGATCAGCAAAATTATTCACTTCATCTGCCAATTGTTCGAATGAGTCAATGTCATTTTCACTGATGTTAGAAAACTATAAAATGCAATAAATAAGAACAAATAAAAGATATATTTGAAATAGAGAAAAGTGTAAAAGTATAGTGTAGAAATGAGATAATCAGAAACCGGAATCCGATATTTTATGCTTTTGCATAAAATTCAATCATCACGTATAACGAGCAGTGAAAGTACATCTGTATGGTGTTCAGAACATGTAAAAATGACCACAAGCAACTATTATCCGCTACCATAAGGTAGAAAGATAGTGTTAAACGTTAAAAGCTTCATTTTGTAAACAAACTAGTCAAATTGCGTAGTTTGAATTTTCGGATGAAATTCATTTATTTATATGACGGCGAGAGCATCATTTTGTGGACGAACCAATCGGATATAAGATAACAGATCTTGGATTTTGGCACAAAATTCATACATCCATTTGGCTAAGTAGCGTTTTGGCAATCAGCTGACGTCGACTCCTAACCCTAACCATCAACTGTAAATCATAATTCTAATTCCTCACACTGGTTTATAACCCTCATCTAGTGCTAGTTAGTAGGTGCACATTCCAAAGGTCACTCCAGCATCACTCATAGGTCATAGTCTGACCGATAATCTTAACCGACAATAACGTAAGAACGTTATTTGTGTCCTTATAAGAGTTCGAGGTGGTGGGTGATCTGTATTTATGTGAATAAATTTGTGACGATGTTTTCTTGATTTCTAAGCACAATAAACTCTAGAAGACATTAATAGATTCATTAACTATGTAAAATCTTTTTTACAACTTGTGATATGAACGCTTTACTTTCCATGAACTACTGGTTTACAGAAGCTGTTTTTAGATTGGCCAAGGACTTGCTGAAAATGTACCGCGGGGTTTTCAACACTGCCCATGTGCTTAGTTTTTACATGAGAAAGATTTAAACGGTAAAAAATTCCTCTATATTTCTCTGATAGTTTTATTTCGTGTAAACAATGTTAGAAATAAAGAAGAAATATGAAACTCGAACTGACTATCCTTTAGAATTGGTTGCTGGTTAGTAATTGTAAACAAGTCCCAATTATAAATTTACTTTCACCAACCGTTATGTTATCGCCCTACATAGATGTTAATACATAAGGTTTGAATTAAAATCATGAAAGAACATTTGTCACTCCTTTTTGTTTTCTAATTACAGATAGAGGATTTCATAAAGTATCGAAAGCATGAAGCCACAGTAACGAAGACAACAAAAAAGATGACAGAGACGATTTTATTCAGAAAAACAAACATCCACTTCAATAATGTATGGTTCTAATTTGTTTTAAAGATTGTAAACGAACACATTTTTGATGAACAGTTAATATCCAGAAAACTACGTACAACCCCAAAGCTAGGAAATATAGGTATGATCTGTTATTTATCTGATATGACTAGTAGTCAAACAGTATAATTTATTGGATAAAAAAGGATAAAAGTATAATTAATTCACCGAACTCATAGCAAAGTTTAATTTATGACATAAGTGAGACATGGTTTCCATAGATTTAATGCTGTTTATTTATAGATTCATCTAGTTAGCAGTAGACTTTCTTATGCCCCCAAATGCCCTGGCATGGCCGAAAGTGGGGAGAGTTCGCTCTCCCTCTCGAAATACTCTCACACGGCCACGCGTATATAGCCTCTGCGAGGGAAGTCCTACTCACTGCCTTCTCGTGGCGGGGGTGTTGTTTACGAAAATGAGAGGACGAAAAGCGAATGTCTGGGGCTTTAACCGGATTCAAAACCAATGGTGCACATGGGCTCCAGTATCCTGCGGGAAAAAATGGCGTATGAACCAATTCTCGGTCACCGGCTTCCATGGGACTGCATCTCCTTACGATGCTCCACTGCCTTGTGGGTTAGACCTTTAGGTCAAAGGCTCGGGGTGTGGCCCCCTAAGAAAACCACCTGTCTGTTTGGGCACCCGGGCAGTATCACAGCCCTCACACATATCGAATGAGATTTGTGTGGCGCATATGTATTTGGTGCCTCCTTGTAGCAATATCTATGTGCTAAAATAAATAAATAAAATAAATAAGACTTATACGCTGAGAACAAAAGATATATCACTAGTACAACAAGAACACTAAAATCTTATACTGAACGCGCTCTACTAATTAGAATCGTCCACCAAATCAAAGGCCAGTATATAATGTAAGAAAGTAATAATTTGTTACTAAATGGTAGACAAAAAAGTGAGAGAAATCCCATCATTCTAAGAATATTATGATCACTTACCAAAGATGCTATATCACTAAGTTGTTGTAAATCGTGACAAACATTTTCATAATTATCCAAGTTTATTTCTTTCACAGTTAAACGATTTAATACAGGTGAAAATTTTTGTAATATAGTTTGTTCGAGTTGAGGAATTAATTCTGTTTGATTAAAATTTTGACTTTCTAAAGAATTATCATTCTCTTTTGAATTACATTCAGATATACCCAACATTTGAATTAAATCTGTAAGTATCTTGTGCTGAAGTAGAAAAATGGTTGAAAAAAGCAAAAACAAGGTACGATAATGATTAACACAAGGTGTTCTAAACGAAGTGAAAATGAACAAGTTAATGAATAAGAAACAGAAAATTCAGCGAAGAAATTTCTCTTTTCGACGAAATCATTTACTTAAGCTGTACATTCGTATATATATATAGTTATATGGAAAATATATATGTCTATAGGAGGATAGAATAGATTGCATCATAAATTGATTCGAGACTCTTATTATCAAATAAGGTTACGTACTAATCAAAGGGTAAGCAAGAAAATAATTTATGGGTCAGATAATAGTTCAATTGATAATATTTTTTACTTACAAAAATGTGGGATTATCTGGACTGTTATTTTTTATTGGAAAGGTGAAAATATATACTTATTAAGTCATAGAACAAATATTATAGTTAATGTTTTTAAACATGTTCCCTAACATTCAATTGGATTCAATGTTTACACATTTTAACCATTAACTCATTATGTAGTTAAATTGAGTTATTTCTGAAATCCTGTAGTTTGAAAAAGTTATTTAGAAACAATCGTAAAGTTTATTTGCTTCGTTCATAGTACCGAAAAAAAAACCGACTCACACAAATATGATAACAGTACAGAGAAATAAATAAAAGAACAACCATATAATCAATAAATAAATCAAAAAATATTTAACAAGATATAAAGTTTAGTTAAAAATGTGACCAGAGAGATTTAGTTAAAGAAATTCATTTCGTTTTTGTGAAAAATGTAACAGAACACTACAGCAAGATTCCAACTATTAGATATTCTAGGTCATATCAAATAGTATCTCAAGCTACTGAGTCGTTGTATTCCTAGGACCAAAAAAAACAGAGTTCTAATGTACCAACGGATCCCAATTTCACACATCTACTATTCAGATTACAGCACTATGCCATAAAATGATCATCTTTCCATTTTTCCCATCCGGCCCAAGAGTCTGAAAGTAATACGGGAATTGGAAGCCGCTAGAATGATATCCAAAATGCAGAAGCAGGATACCGAAGCCGGTGTTTCAAGGTGGTGACACCGACTGCAGTATCGTCACTGTGCTAGAATATACATTCCCGAGCATCATCATCACTTAAATGATGTTGCTACTGGATGTAAGCAACCCTTTGGAGAAAAGGATGACTGAACATCAACAGTCTTCGAAAATTCTTAGTTGGGAGACGCCAGGTTTCACAAGATTGATCAAATGAATTTCAAGTACAAGGTCCTATATTTTGGATTGAAAGAATGCAAATTACATAACATAACTACGGGCATTAACTACTGATTATTTAACCGCGATTTGTATAGTTTGTGTATCAACGACATCCCCATACTGAAAATCGACATGTCTTTCTCCAACAAACAAATCCACACCTCACAAATGATGAACTCTATGTCCATGGAAATTACCTTTGTCGCTTTGAAAAACAATCAATTGATTCAAATTATGATCACTACAATTATTGTCATTATTAATACTAATATTATTATTACTACTATTATTGTCATTATGGTTATTATTATTATTATTATTATTATTATTATTATCATTATTATTTTCCACATTATTCACCTTCTTTCATACTTATACAGCGGCTCGTCTTTGGTGGAATTCCGACTGTATCTAAACGTTCTCGAGTCACTGTCCGGTTGAAAATTGTATGTTACCACCGAATACGAGGACTGAAGCAGATTTTCTGAAACCACGTGCACCATTCAAACTGGCTGCCTTCAACGTTCGCACATTTATGCAGGTCGGACTACAGATAGGGCTGGCTATGTCTTTGGAAAGTCTTAATATCGATGTCTACTGTCTATCCGAGACCCGTATTCAAGACTTTGGCGAAGTACTACAAATTCGATCTCCATCTGTCGCTTCGAAAAGCTCGTTTTACGTGCGCTTATCCGGGGACACTGTGGCATCTTCGTCTGGTCTTGCTGGCGTTGGTGTCGCACTAAGCGCTAGAGCTGAGGCAGCACTAGTCGATTGGATCCCCATTAACAGTCGGTTATGTGCTGTTAGATTAGAAAGTTCCATCAAAGTGAGAAGAAATCGGCGTGAGAAACGATGTCTTTTCGTCATCTCCGCCTATGCCCCGACAGATTGCAGCCCGGATGCAATCAAGGATGAGTTTTACCACCAGTTATCAGTTCTTCTCCAGAAAGTGCGTTCGACAGATATTGTAGTACTAGCCGGAGACTTGAATGCTCAGGTCGGGCGTCTAGGCACAGAAGAGAGTCGTTTAGGTGGCCGATGGGGACTCGTTGGTCGCAGGTCAGATAACGGGGACCGTCTACTGCAACTTTGCACAGACCACAACCTGTTTCTGGCTAGCACTAACTTTCGGCACAGTCATCGCCGATGTGCCACCTGGCGTCCTCCCTCTGCATCTCAAGCCTGGACTCAGATTGATCACATCGCGATCAGCTACCGCTGGCGTGGTTGTGTACAAGACTGCCGCTCCTTTTGGAGTACCTATCTGGACTCTGACCATGCCTTGGTCTGCGCCAATCTTGCCTTACTTTTCAGTGGACAACGAAGTGAACGCCATCAACGGATTGATATTAGCAATCTAGTTGCAACTTCTGTTGCAAGTAAGTATCGAACCGAGCTAGCCTCTAGGCTAGCTACCACTCCACCGAAAAGTATAGATGAGCATTGGTTGCAATTGCATGACGCCATGAAAATGGCGGGTACAGTCAGTTGTTGGTTTGCGAAACGTCCCGCTTTTAAGCACTGGGTTTCTCCAGGTTCCTTACAACTCATTGAAGCCCGTCGGTCTACTCCGGGTAACCGTGAGTTTGACCATAAACGAAGGATTTTACGTAAGGAAATCGGGCAAAGCTTGCGTAAGGACCGAGAAGCCTGGTGGTCGATGCGTGCTAATGAGCTGGAAGCAGCAGCTGCATCTGGTAACTACCGGAAGCTCTTCCAACTCATCCGAGCCACTGGCAGCAAGAAGTCTGGTGTGAGTGAAACAATCTGCGAGGGTGATGGGATGCCAATCACTAACATCCATCGACGTCTTGGACGATGGGCAGAATTTTTCGAAGGGCAGTTCAACTGGCCTGCTGCTCCGGCAACATCGGTCAGACTGTCCTGCCCTCCATGGCCGGTGACGACTGATCCACCAAATGAGGAGGAAGTCCGCAAGGAACTCCAACTCTTGAAGCGTTACAAATCACCTGGCCCAGATGACTTACCTCCGGCTCTTTTTAAAGATGGTGGTGACTTTTTGACTAAGGAATTGACGACGTTGTTTACAAAGGTTTGGGAACTAGAGAGTGTACCAACGTCATGGAATGAGTCGATAGTTGTCCCTATCTTTAAAAAGGGTTCACGTCGTTCTTGTAACAACTATCGGGGGATAAGTTTACTTCCGATTGCGTCCAAGCTATTGGCTTCCGTCATTCTTCGTAGGTTGTTCAAAACCCGAGAAAGATTGACTCGCGAGGAGCAGGCTGGGTTTCGTTCTGGTCGAGGATGTATTGATCATATCTTCACCCTTCGCCAAATGTTAGAACACCGCCATACTTTTCAAAGGCCAACAATCGTAGTGTTTCTTGACATCAGGGCTGCCTTCGATTCGTTGGATAGGGCTGTTCTCTGGGATTGTCTATTGAAGAAGGGTGTGCCTGAGAAGTTTATTAACATCCTAAAAGCTCTATATAAAAACACCTCAGGCAGAGTGAGGGCATACAACCACCTCTCTCCATTGTTCCATTCGAGCAGTGGGGTTAGGCAGGGTTGCCCAATCTCACCATTCCTCTTCAACTTTGCCATCGATGACATTCTGGAAACAGCTCTGATGAATGTAAGTAATGGTGGTGTGGATCTGTTGCCTGGAGAAAGACTTCTCGACCTTGAGTATGCGGACGATATTGTCTTACTGTGCGATAATGCCCAAGGCATGCAATCCGCACTTAATCAGTTGACAACCAGTGTCCGTAGGTATGGTATGTGCTTTGCACCTTCGAAGTGCAAAGTACTTCTACAAGACTGGCAGGATTCCAATCCTGTACTCACCCTGGATGGTGAGCAGATAGACGTAGTCGAGAAGTTCGTGTATCTGGGTAGCTGCATAAGTGCTGGTGGGGGTGTGTGTGATGAGACCAATTCCCGTATAGTGAAAGCCAGGGCGGCTTATGCCAATCTGGGCCACCTTTGGCGCCTTCGTGATGTTAGTCTGGCCGTAAAAGGCCGGATCTACAACGCGTCGGTGAGAGCAGTTTTGCTCTATGCTTGTGAAACCTGGCCTCTCCGAGTTGAGGACGTTAGACGACTCTCTGTGTTCGATCATCGCTGTCTCCGAAGGATTGCTGACATTCAGTGGCAACACCAAGTCAGTAATGCAGAGGTTCGGCATCGTGTGTTCGGGCACAGAGATGATAACTCAATTGGTGTCACCATCTTGAAACACCGAATTCGGTGGCTTGGACATGTTCTACGAATGTCGTCCCAGAGAATTCCACGTCGTGCATTATTTGCCGACTCTGGGACTGGTTGGAAGAAGCGGAGAGGTGGTCAGTGCATGACATGGTGTCGTGGCATGAAAGAAAGCTGCAAAGGACTGGCTTGTGTTGGTCCTTCACGACTCCCTGGCTGGGGTCCGAGAGATGGTGCTACACAGTGGCTAGAGACGTTATCAGATATGGCTCAGAATAGAAGCCAGTGGCGATCCTGCTGTAACCTTCTTTTACTTTCTTCATAAAAAGTGGTTGTATCTTCCTTAACTGAAAGATTTCTTCTGATTGTACCTCTTCGTCATTACTCTCTCTTTCTTTTGCGTTCCTTAGTTTTTTTTCTCTTTCTACTTCTCTTCGAATTCCCATTGTTTTGTGTGGCGCATATATATTGGCGCTCTCTTGTACCAATATTTATGTGTTCAAACAAACAAACAACAAACAACACCTCAACCAGATGGAGAGGACATATAATCTGACAATTGTCGCATAAACTACGGAAGCACTTCTTCCTAATAGGAACAAAGATAACATTACTACAAGAAGATGAGACTTTTTCGTTCGAAAAACGTTTAGCTAACTTGGTCAGTTCTCTGACTAGAATTTCGACATCAAAATTGAAAACAATCGTGATTAGGTGTTTTAGTCGTGGTGGCTTGAAGTGCATGGGAATTAAGGGCTCCCTAAAAGCCTCTACTTCGCCATGCGGGTCGATAGTCAATAATCAAGGGACATGTAACAGTTTGATCAAAATTTGCGGAATTCGAGTTTTAAGGTAACTAATTGACGTACCATAGATTTCAGAGACTGAGTTGCCGACATCAGAGAAAAGGCATATACAGATTTTACTAAGTATGTGACCAAATACAACAAGATGTAATGAGGATAAGTTATAGTTAATAAAATAAAATCGTGTACTAAAATATCTGAGCAGCCACTACATTTTAAGGGATCTTTATTATCTATTTTGAGGACTTCCATATGATAAGTTTACGATTCACCGAATGAAAGTGAACGTATTAAGTCGTGATGTGTCAGCAGACGAGAAGACAATAGAGATATTTTCTACGAACTTGTCTCCCAAACAAGTGAGCACGCGATGACTCGTAGTGGCAGTTCACTTCTGGATCAATAAAAACTACCAAATCCCATAGCTTCGATCGGAAGAAAGAAACACTACCAAAAATAGAAATTGAAAGCAAAACGTCAAAGCAAGAATATTAACAGATGGGATCTGCTTTATTCTGATAAGCGATTGCCGTCAGTTATAGTGTTCACCTAGTGACTTAAACAACTGACCACTAACAAGTAATATAGTACAAAGGAGAAAAATGAAATTATAGTCTAAAATGCCTATTCAACAGGTAATATATACATGCACAGTATTACCTCATTATGTAAATCTTTGACTGATTGAAACCAGTTTTCCCAATCATGTTTTGTTTTACGTAAGCGAATAATTTCTTCGCGTGTAGATCTTATGCGATTTAACAGACCAACAATTTTAGCCTAAAATTAAAATACATAAACTATCAAATGATTCAACAACAGTAATAATAATGAATTTCATATTCCATTTAACCTGAAGAATATTCAATCCTGAAAGGTTCCATATCTTTTAATGAAGATAAACAACAATGTTTTACATAATCACCTAGTGATTCTAAATGGAATCAAAGAAATCCAATGAGTTATTATGTTATCCATGATTGCTGAAGCTGCTATTTTTTAATCAGAACATGAAAGATAAAAATGTGGTTTGGATGTTGACCTGTAGAATGTTTTGTTGAGACTTCCTTAGAACTGAGTTGATTTTGCTATTTTTATATAGCTTGAAGTTTACAATTTCGTGTGTGCTAGAAGTTCACAATGTCTGGGAAAGTGAAATAATCCAACTGCATGTGGAAATAAATTTCGAAATGGGTCAGTCTGGAATAAATTTTGCATCGCAGATTGATACTAGTGCTGATGAAAATAGATAATTGTCAAGCGATATCACGTTAAAACAGAAGTTGGAAACATGGATTATTACACTCTAAAGTAGTGGTCTCAAAAAATCTTGGTTGTCGTAAAACCATTAAGTTTCGGTTTCGGCATTACATGGAGTCTTGAACGTGTACTGTCGAGAAATTCCAAGCTATGATGAAACAGTTATCCAAATCTTCCTAGGCCTAAATAACTCTTAGGCCGATGTCAGTCTGAAATAAAATCAGATATCAAAATATTGACGAATCAATTTCTCAAGTGAGAATAGAAGTCTAGCACAATATTCCATAGATTTCATGATTTGTAATGGTCTTTCATCAGGTTAGAGGACGTATCAAAATTTTCCTCTCAAGTGTTCTACCAGTGTAATACAGGAAGCGTCAATATTAAAGGTAGTGTGATCTACCAAGTAAGGCAAGACATTAAATATTGACTGTTTTAAGAAATAACTTACATACAAAATATAGTCTAGATTGGACACAGTCAATAAAAATCTAAACTAGATACTAATTCAATCACATTGTCAAATATTAGAACTAAAACTTACATAATCACATTCTACTTTATTCACAATGTAAGATGATGTATAACGTTGAAACAATATCCAAACAGTATATGCAGCTAATGATATATCAGACAATGAATCAACATCTAATTCATTAAGCTTTTTTACAGGATTATCCAAGGTTAATGAACCAGAAGAATGTTCAATGATGCTACCATGTTCCATGTCATGTGAGTGAATAGCAGAAGCAACTGAATCCTACTTATTATTAATTTTTGATAAACAGAAATAGATTAAAATTAATTCGTCAATTTTAATAAATGCATAAATAAATAGTTATGAGTGAATACTAACAAGGTATTTTCAATTGTTCCGAGGTTTTTTCTTACAAATTCTAAGCATGATTTACTCTAGATTATCATATAACTTAAAAATATTCTCAATGGCTTCAAGATTTTTAAGTACACTAGGCCTTGAGAAAAACACTTTTTGAATGTTCCTTAGATAAGATAACCGGAAAGGGGTTATAATTTAAAATATGAAACGAACATCCTGGATACTATTAATGGCCACACTTTATTCTATTCTATATAGACAAATAGATCATTGAATTTAACAATAAAATCCACGACCCCAAAAACCGACAAGCAAACAAGTGACTTTTGAGATGGTGATTTGTAGGTCAGGTGGATGATTTGGGTGGAGTTTTGTTTCCTGAGCTGAATGATTCAGTCGAACTTTCATTGTTCTTTTGGACACAATCATAAGCATAAACTTCAGGCAGGAATGAAATGTTCAAACTTCTCCACATATGACTCACAGCTTGTCCTGACAACCTCGATTGGTTATTGTTGACCTTTTACTTTTCATTTTCTACCTGTTTATTTTGAGTGTATCTACCTTTGATTTGATTCTTGGTCCCATATTTGTCTATGATTTTTCTAACCGATTAATAGATTGGACTGATTTCAATGTGTTTGCTAACTTGATTGACCTGAGTGCCAAGCATCCGAAAATTATCTAGTGCTTTTAATAATCCCTCTATCCAAGATCTGGACATTTTCTTCGATGTACTAATCACCACAACCGATACAGAAAAACTGGAGACTCAAGTATACTGGAACCTGACCCACACAGATCAGGTTCGCAATTACAGTGGCAACAACTCATAAATTCAACTGCGCACAAACTTTATTCAAGAGGATGAGGACACACTGCAACGCGGGAAAATGAAAAATTATCCAAAGACTATTTCGAAAGAATGGCTACCCACTCAACTTCATCAGAAAATATCAACCCAACACATCAGCGAAAACAAAATCAAGTACAGGAACTAACAAACGGATCATCCTACCATATATAATAGCATCAGAAATTACAACGAGATTATTGAGGCCGTTTGGAATAGGTGTAGCACACAAACCAGCAAAATCATCTCAATCTTATGGGAACCAAAGGAGAAAACAACAAAAGAAACAAAGATCACCTACAAAATAAACAGTTCCAATATCACATCGAATAACGAGGACATCCCCTTTATCTTCGCATACACGAACATCAATTAGCGGTCAAGCGCCATGACATATCCTTTCTTATATCAATGCATGTGGACAACTGTGGACACATTAGACTGGAAAGATGGTGAGATCTCGGACAGAGGAATCACTAAAAGCTTAGCTGAATGTCCTATAATCAGGATCGAAGGTTCTGAGCATGAAGTCAGAAAAATTTTAGGAAATTATGACTGAGAAAGTACGACTTCAAGATTCCCTATCAACTTTGTTATATCTTAGCTTTTAAATATCGAATGGTTCTAAACTGCATTTGGTTATGAGTGATGTTCAGATTATGACTGAGTTAGAAGCATTTTAATAGGTTCCATCTACGGCTTCATTGACTGAATGCATAATTGACATTTTGACAATCAATCTTTATCCTAAAATTAATATTATAAAGAAAGTTTTTGACAGGGGTGTGGCCCCCTAAGATAACCACCTGCTTCGGTCTGGGCACCCGGGCAGTATCGCAGCCCACATGCAAATGATGAACTCTCTATATATAAAACTACTTTTCTTGCTTTGCATAACAATCAAATGATTCAAATTATTATTATCATTATTATTATTATTATTACTTACTACGACATTATTCACCCTCTTTTATTCCTACTCTGTCTATGCTTACTTTTTCCGACTTATACAGCAGCTCGTCTTTGGTGAAAACCCGACTCTATCTAAACGTTCTCGAGTTACTGTCCGGTTGAAAATTGTATGTTACCACCGAATATGAGTACTGAAGCAGTTTTTCTGAAACCACGTTTGCACCTTCGAAGTGCAAAGTACTTCTACAAGACTGGCAGGATTCTAATCCTGTACTCACTCTGGATGGTGAGCAGATAGTGGTCGAGAATTTCGTGTATCTAGGTAGCTGCATAAGTGCTGGTGGGGATGTGAGTGATGAGACCAATTCCCGTATAGTGAAAGCCAGGGCGGCTTATGCCAATCTGGGCCATCTTTGGCGCCTTCGTGATGTTAGTCTGGCTGTAAAAAGTCGGATCTACAACGCGTCGGTGAGAGCAGTTTTGCTCTATGCTTGTGAAACCTGGCCCCTCCGAGTTGAGGACGTTAGACGACTCTCTGTGTTCGATCATCGCTGTCTCCGAAGGATTGCTGACATTCAGGGGCAACACCATGTCAGTAATGCAGAGGTTCGGCATCGTGTGTTCGGGCACAGAGACGATAATGCAATTGGTGTCACCATCTTGAAACACCGAATTCGGTGGCTTGGACATGTTCTACGAATGTCGTCCCAGAGAATTCCACGTCGTGCATTATTTGCCGACTCTGGGACTGGTTGGAAGAAGCGGAGAGTTGGTCAGTGCATGACATGGTGTCGTGGCATGAAAGAAAGCTGCAAAGGACTGGCTTCTGTTGGTCCTTCACGACTCCCTGGTTGGGGTCTGCGAGATGGTGCGACACAGTGGCTAGAGACGTTATCAGATATGGCTCAGAATAGAAGTCAGTGGCGATCCTGCTGTAACCTTCTTTTACTTTCTTCATAAAAAGTGGTTGTGTCTTCCTTAACTGAAATATTTTTTCTGATTGTACCTTTCCGTTCCCCCATTTTTACCATTATTATTATTACACCACCTTACATCAATCTCTTCGTTACTATTCTCTTTTTTTTTTTCTTTTCCTTCCCCTAAAATTCTCATTGTTTTGTGTGGCGCATATATATTTGGCGCATTCTTGTACCAATATTTATGTGTTCAAATAAATAAACTCTTCTCGCTTCGCTATTGAAACTATACAGAAAATATTTTAGGAAATAAAATACTTGGATGTAGAGATACATTTGTTCGACAATTGAGCTTCAGAAATTGTAAAAGGGGACAGAAAATAATCAGTGTGTTACAGGAACCCTACAACGAGTGCTCTAAGCTCACGGTAGTTTTACATCTGGCTATTAATTTTCGTTTTAATCTCCAAATACATATGCAACCATTTGGAAAGCTATACAATCCATATGAGAAATTGTGGTTGCGGTTTTTCTATACATACTTTCTGTAGTATGTAGATTCACAGGCCTATATTATATATTATGCATGCACTAACTCCCAAATTTATTGATGTTGTGTATCTTGATTGTACAATTGTGGTAAACAGTGAACAACTAAGCGATTGCTATTTGAATGAAATCAGGATGCAATATCGGTTGATTAGATACGGAAGTGATAATTCACAAGTTTTAAATTATAACAGCACCGTAACAGTAAGCAATATGATAAAAAGGAATCTAATATGTCAGCCTACACGCAATACATGATAGGTAAATAATGACTAATTCTACCCAGCAACTTACATCAATGACTAATTGAGCATTCGATGCATTGACTCCAAATTTTGGAGACGATTGCCGCTTCACAATAGAACTGTTTTGTCGTTCATTGGTCGACTTTTCTCTTACAGACGAAACCTAAGATGTTTGAAAGCAAGTATAATCCAAACACTTCACTCACAGATCGATGGACAGTATTTGATTTTTCCAAATAACGTGAAGCAACTAGAAGACAAAAAGGAAGCGAATAATTGGGCAGTATGCTAAAAAAAGTATTCTTCCGATTATTAATATGAACTACCAATAACGCTAAATGAAATCGTTGTAGTGCAAATTAACCTACGTTAGGAAATGTGAAGTACTTGATAATAAATCAATAGTTAAGCAGTAACATAGCATCATACATAAAAGTTCCACGTTTGATAATAAAACGAATCAAATAAAACCAACTGAGTTTAAGGATTTATGACAAAACATCTATTTACTACTTCGAATGATTCACTTACAGGTAGTTTTTGACTGAATAACAATGGCACATATTGGAAAAGTATTGATACCGTCAATCATATTCTTTCTGATGCACTGAAATAAGTTCTCGTATACAAAAGTCACAAAAAAATGTGATTTGAAGCAACACAACGTTCTATCGACTTGCTGGAGAATTCTATCCAAGGGATAAAAATTCGCATACCAGATTTTTATACATTGAAAAAAGCTCACCGAACCACTGTGAGTTGATAAGAAGTTGAATTTCCATGTGACATTAATGTGCAATTAGATCAGATACAGTCCTGATAAATACTCTTAATGGGATTAAAAGTCAAACTTCTGCAACATGAGCAAATAGATAATTAGGATTGTGGTCTGTAGATTGACTGAGATATTATCTAGAGTTTAGGAACGAAAATTTAGTCAGTACGAACATGTCCAGGCCTAAAAGCAGCCTGGATTTCGCGGATTTGATTTTCACGAGCTCCATATAAGCCTTGAATTATTGAGACTAATATTTTAGACTCTATATTAGTCAAACGGATCACTCTCTGGTTATCGCAGAAGGGTTTTTTATCCATTCTTACAGCCTGAGATGACGGAGACGGGACAACTCCTAGTCCTTAAAATTTAGCTAATATCTCACTCAGCCTAACAGCTAAAATTTGACCATCTTTCTTGGAAATCTCTCAGATCATGTCATTAGGGTTTGCTGTTCTCCCTCACTTTAGGTTACCCAGAGCGTTTTTTAACTCAAGAGTTGGAGACTTGTGTCAGTTTGCCGTTCAAGTTGATTGGAAATAAATGATAACTGAAGGCTGACTGGAGGTCAGTTGAACTTCCCCTTAAAGTCTTCTGTAATGTCTTACCTCCTAGATCAAAGGTGGGTGATGCTTCTGTTTTGTTTTGAAATAGTCTCTCCAACAACTGCATCTTTAATAACTACTTTCTTTATCAGTCTGTTGAGTTGTCTGAAGCTACCTACTGCTGTCGAACTCCCATCTCTCACTTTCGTTTCCCGCCACTTCTCACAACCGTCGCCTGAACTCACTGTTGGTTTATATTTGAGTTGTTATTGATCTTTATCACCATCCCAACCTATTGGGATGAGTTTTCAAGAACCATAATATTTGGCTTTGATTGGATGATTTTTGAAATAAATCTTATGAATGGACCAGCTGAAAGATGAAGACGAAACGTGCAACTATTTCGTTTATAAACTGAGAGCTAATAAACTAAACTTTTTATTTTATTGAGCTTACCAATATTTAACTCAAGACTAGCTAAGAAGTAGTAAATCATATTGTATTTCTCATCGTAAGAAATACAAAAATTGAGTTAACGTACCGTAGGCTGTTTTTCTTCTGGGGTGCTTAAAAAATTTTTCCCTTTGGTCACCCATTGAAGTACGTGCACAAATTATCTACACGGACTCAAAAATGTGCTGAACCACTTCTATGGCAAAAAAAGCTATGCAAATTAACAACAAATAACGTTAAAAAACAACATGTATATATGAACAAGTTATAAAAATATTTTTCAGAAAATTAATTAAAAACTTGGTGAGTGAATGGCATTTAGCACATGAACTACCTTTTCAGATCGTATCGACTGTGTAGAAGTTTGGTATCTCTAGGGAGGTAACAACGAAAGTATACTAGTATTCAGGTGAAAAGACTAAACTACATGGCGTGGATTCGGGGGAGAGTATGATCCATGGAAGAAGCAACGGAAGTAAAGATATTTGCATGAAATCCATTCATTTGTATGGTTAAGTAGCATTTCAACACACTAGCTGGTCAGTTTTTCATACTCCCTAACCCTTAATTCTAACTCTAAACCACAATCTTATAGAATTGGTATTTATGTATACCAGAGCTAATTTATAACTCTCGTTAGACCCTAGTAATTAGGTGAATATTGACTTTGACAATATCGACATTTAACTTCGTTTTCGTGAGATAATGAGCACGACTGGACTTAACATTATTGAATAATTGACTGGCGTTTGAAAACCACTTTACGTCTGTGAAAAATTCTGATAATATAAATCTACATCGTTAAATGATGAGTGAATGATCTAATTTTCCCATTTTGTGGATAATTTTTCCAGTGTTTTGAAATTTCGGGTAAGCCGCTATGGAAAGCTTTAAGGAAATGGAACCCAAACCACAAAATATCTCATCTGGGGAAACCTCCAAAAATTTTGGGTTTTTCACCAATATTCCCTCAAAACTTTGGTGATTTCCCGAAATTTGTCCCGGAATCTTAAAACAAATTGGGGAAACCCGTACCTATTTATTGATAAAACCTCAGATTTTTTCACAATTTTGATGAAGGCCATTGAACATTTGAGATTTCCCCAAAATCGAGAGATTGGGAACCCACGAAAAACACTTTAGAATAAACGTTTCTTACGTCACGTTCAGCTTTTAATATATCTGCGTGCAGCCTGAAGGTATTTAGTAGGGCCCTTAATTTTGTGGTCATTTAGATCGAACGATGTGGTCGAAAGGGCTCTCCACTTTAATGGCCCGTGTATCTGACTCCAATTAGATCGTATGAATGTTTGTTATCGCCCATCCTCGTATATAATCATCGACTTAAATCGCGTTATTTAATAACGGAATTAAATAAGTCGAATAACGAGAATGCACTTGTGAACACATATATTCTTTATATAAAGTGAATGGAATAGAACGAAGCAAAACGACGCGCAGTGGATATGGCTGGTAAGCCAACTCTCATTTAACCAAGTGTTAATCAATATTTATAGTTATACAAAAGTAAGTTGCAGACATGTGATGTGTAACGGGATAAGAAATGTACACACACCTACGCGCTCATATAGAAACAGTCAAGATTGATAAGCTGATTATTAACAAGGTCAAAATGTGACTCAAGTAGAATGAATAGAATGGGCTGCCCGAAAGCTACAATACGGTACATGGGCTTAACATAATAAACGACACTACAGGTATCTTGCGTGTTCCCACAAAGCAGTGAGAATGCAGAAAGCACTTACATTTAGAAACAAAGTGACTAAAAACCAGTTAAAATAACATTTATGAGACTAAGACAGTCCGATATTAAAATCTATCAGTTAGCATCTTACTGTTTAGGACGCATTACACCAACAACGACAAGATAGCTAAATAGCACAACACACTAATAACGCGCGTATAGATTGATTATATTTTTATGCCATATACAAACACTTTAAGAGAATCAACCAGCTATGTATCAAATCAATGATCATGATTGATTTAACTGTGCCATACACTAAGACCAATCAGTTCATATTCTGTCAAACAACGATTGTGCACTTATAACTGTAACGCTAAATAAAACTTTAACACAGATAATTTTTTGAGTCCTCAACATTTATGCAGACCTCGCTAGTTTCGATGAACACATCTTACCGAGTGTTGTTTGTCACGAAACCGCATCACATCACCATTGAGTACTCAGCTGCGCATCACTCACTGCGAAATTCTTCTCAGTAGTGAAGTCAATGCCATGTAAGTTCAAGGGGTACGTTACATCGAGAGTGTTTACTAGTGATGTTTCCGAACCTTACAACATTTTTAAAAAAGACTATATACGTGAAGACATGGCCGATCGACAAATGTTATATAAGTGACTCGATAGTACCAAATTGTAACACTAGCCCCCCTGAATGCCCTGGTACGGCCGAGAATGGGGAGAGTCCGCTCTCCCTCTCGAAATACTCTCACACGGCCACGCGTATACAGCCTCTGTCAGGGAAGTCCTACTCATTGCCTTCTCGTGGCGGGAGTGTTGTTTACGAAAATGAGAGGACGAAAAGCGAATGTCCGGCGCTTTAACCGGATTCCAAATCAATGGTGCACATGGGCTCCAGTATCCTGTGGGAAAAATGGCGTATGAACCAATCGTTGGTCACCGGCTACCATGGGACTGCATCTCCTTACGATGCTCCACTGCCTTGTGGGTTAGACCTTTAGGTCAAAGGCTCGGGGAGTGGCCCCCTAAGATAACCACCTGCTTCGGTTTGGGCACCCGGGCAGTATCACAGCCCACACACACAAATTGATGAACTCTTTATGCCTATGGAAATTACCTTTCTCGCTTTGAAAAACAAACAATTGATTCAGATTATTATCATTACAATTATTGTCATTATTAATACTAATATTATTATTACTACTATTATTGTCATTATTGTTATTATTATCATTATTATTATTATTTTCCACATTATTCACCCTCTTTTATACTTATACAGCGGCTCGTCTTTGGTGGAAATTCGACTGTATCTAAACGTTCTCGAGTCACTGTCCGGTTGAAAATTGTATGTTACCACCGAATACGAGGACTGAAGCAGATTTTCTGAAACCACGTGCACCATTCAAACTGGCTGTCTTCAACGTTCGCACATTTATGCAGGTCGGACTACAGATAGGGCTGGCTATGTCTTTGGAAAGTCTTAATATCGATGTCTACTGTCTATCCGAGACCCGTATTCAAGACTCTGGTGAAGTACTACAAATTCGATCTCCATCTGTCGCTTCGAAAAGCTCGTTTTACGTGCGCTTATCCGGGGACCCTGTGGCATCTTCGTCTAGTCTTGCTGGCGTTGGTGTCGCACTAAGCGCTAGAGCTGAGGCAGCACTAGTCGATTGGATCCCCATTAACAGTCGGTTATGTGCTGTTAGATTAGAAAGTCCCATCAAAGTGAGAAGAAATCGGCGTGAGAAACGATGTCTTTTCGTCATCTCCGCCTATGCCCCGACAGATTGCAGCCCGGATGCAATCAAGGATGAGTTTTACCACCAGTTATCTGTTCTTCTCCAGAAAGTGCGTTCGACAGATATTGTGGTACGAGCTGGAGACTTGAATGCTCAGGTCGGGTGTCTAGGTACAGAAGAGAGTCGTTTAGGTGGCCGATGGGGACTCGTTTGTCGCAGGTCAGATAACGGGGACCGTCTACTGCAACTTTGCACAGACCACAACCTGTTTCTGGCTAGCACTAACTTTCGGCACAGTCATCGCCGATGTGCCACCTGGCGTCCTCCCTCTGCATCTCAAGCCTGGACTCAGATTGATCACATCGCGATTAGCTACCGCTGGCGTGGTTGTGTACAAGACTGCCGCTCCTTTTGGAGTACCTATCTGGACTCTGATCATGCCTTGGTCTGCGCCAATCTTGCCTTGTACCAACGTCATGGAATGTGTCGATAGTTGTCCCTATCTTTAAAAAGGGTTCACGTCGTTCCTGTAACAACTATCGGGGAATAAGTCTACTTCAGATTGCGTCCAAGCTATTGGCTTCCGTCATACTTCGTAGGTTGTTCAAAACCCGAGAGAGATTGACTCGCGAGGAGCAGGCTGGGTTTCGTTCTGGTCGAGGATGTATTGATCATATCTTCACCCTCCGCCAGATGTTAGAACACCGCCATACTTTTCAAAGGCCAACAATCGTAGTGTTTCTTGACATCAGGGCTGCCTTCGATTCGTTGGACAGGGCTGTTCTCTGGGATTGTCTATTGAAGAAGGGTGTGCCTGAGAAGTTTATTAACATCCTAAAAGCTCTATATAAAAACACCTCAGGCAGAGTGAGGGCATACAACCACCTCTCTCCATTGTTCCATTCGAGCAGTGGGGTTAGGCAGGGTTGCCCAATCTCACCATTCCTCTTCAACTTTGCCATCAATGACATTCTGCAAACAGCTCTGATGAATGTAAGTAATGTTGGTGTGGATCTGTTGCCTGGAGAAAGAATTCTCGACCTTGAGTATGCGTATGATATTGTCTTACTGTGCGATAATGCCCAAGGCATGCAATCCGCACTTAATCAGTTGACAATCAGTGTCCGTAGGTATGGTATGTGCTTTGCACCTTCGAAGTGCAAAGTACTTCTACAAGACTGGCAGGATTCTAATCCTGTACTCACTCTGGATGGTGAGCAGATAGACGTAGTCGAGAAGTTCGTGTATCTGGGTAGCTGCATAAGTGCTGCTGGGGGTGTGAGTGATGAGATCAATGCACGAATAGTGAAAGCCAGAGCGGCTTATGCCAATCTGGGCCATCTTTGGCGCCTTCGTGATGTTAGTCTGGCTGTAAAAGGTCGGATCTACAACGCGTCGGTGAGAGCAGTTTTGCTCTATGCTTGTGAAACCTGGCCCCTCCGAGTTGAGGACGTTAGACGACTCTCTGTGTTTGATCATCGCTGTCTCCGAAGGATTGCTGACATTCAGGGGCAACACCATGTCAGTAATGCAGAGGTTCGGCATCGTGTGTTCGGGCACAGAGACGATAATGCAATTGGTGTCACCATCTTGAAACACCGAATTCGGTGGCTTGGACATGTTCTACGAATGTCGTCCCAGAGAATTCCACGTCGTGCATTATTTGCCGACT